GTGTTGTTGTTGTGTTGTTGTTGTTGTTGTTGTTGTTGTCTGTTGTTGTTGTTGTTGTTGTTGTTGTTGTTGTTGTTGTTGTTGTTGTTGTTGTTGTTGTTGTTGTTGTTGTTGTTGTTGTTGTTGTTGTTGTTGGTTGCGCTCGATGCGCAGCTGCTCGATAATCTGCCTGCATGCCCACTTCCACCGCTGCACAGCCTCGTGCTGCACGTAGATGTCATCGTAGCAGTACTTGAGCACCCACAGCACAAAGCCCGGGCTTGGCTGGCGACCTTTCATCACATTGCCATACGCTTGCAGCAGCTTCTTCTCTGCCTGGAAGAGCTTCTGCCGTCGCCGCGCTCGCAGCATCACCTGCGATACCTCCTTCAATGGAACGTACACCACAAATGACGAATGATCATCCGCAATTTGCGCGCTTTCCTGGCTGCTCGTTCTGCTGCTCTCGTTGTTGTCATGTGCACAAATTCCGCTGTCGGCTCTCTGACTAGAGGGCGTAGTTGCCATGCTTCTCTTGTCCGCCGCTTGGTTGGCGTCTCCGCCGTCTTTTTGCTCGCCTCGCGCACGACTGCCGCCTCGAGCACGAAGAAGTGGCGTGCGGGACCCGCCACTTCCTCCGCTGTCGCCACAAACGCCGTGCTGAACACGATCTTCAAGATCATTGTCATCGTCTCGGGGTTGCACGGTGAAGGAAAACGTGGTCACGAGCTTCCGCACTTCGTGCTCCTTCGAGTGCACGCGGTTGATGCGGAGAATGGCGCCGCGCGCCTTTGGCACGGCCTTGGCCAGGTCTTCCAGACGCAAGAACAGGTATGCGACGCCCAGGAACAGCAGCATAAAGCCGAAGATGGCCAGTTGAAATACGCCCACGGGGATGGTGTCAAAGCCAAAGTCCTCCAGGTAGTAGGCGGGAGACCCAAGCATGCACGCAGCAGTCGGTAAGACGCCCGACTCTTTGTGGCAGTTGGAAGGCACGCCGTCCTGCGACACGCGCGCCAGCGAAGCAAACGTGTAGAAGAAGGGCGAGATGTAGTAGAACGCCTCCTGTGGCGGTGGCGCGTCCGCTGGGCCAACAAAGTAGCCGCTGAAGACGCCAGCCATTCCAACAAATGCCGAGTACATGGTGAGCATGAAGTCGTTGCCCTGGTTGAAGTGGTACGCAACACCGGCCATGCCGCACATCCACGCCGCCGCGATTCCAAGCGTTTCCATCTGCAGCACCGCAATGGCGGTGAGGCGCGCGGCGCTCACGTGTCCTCCAAAGGCGCAGATGTAGATCACAACGATGGAGATGGTCGTCAGGGGGATGGCAACTGCGGCCAAGTAGCTGAAGGATGCAACGACCACCTGTGTCAATGTGCGGCAATGTGGTTGGTTGAGAAGTCACATACGCTTGTGTGCGAATGTGCGCTGGGGATGCATTGCACAAGGAGCACGTGCAAAACGTTTGTCAAGATAACGGCCTCACCATTCATACGAATGCACACTTGCACACCAACTACTATTACCAGCAACAAGTACACATGCGCAAGCGCACACATGAACCAACCAACACACATGCAATCGCTTCACACATACACACACACACACACAGTCGCACTCACACACGCAACGCAGTCTTTCACGCACACTCCCACAGGCACCCACGCACGCACGCTCATACACACACACGCGCGCGCGCCCTCAAGTGCAAGTACCTGAAGTGACGAGACAGTCTTGTGCTTCTTTTCCAGGCGGAATGCGTTGAATGTGTTAATGAGGCTGGCAGAGAACGTGAAGTTGACAAGGAGGGGAAACGTGTACATGATGCTGAAGTGGGTGCTTCCGAGTACAAACGCCGGGTTTGCATCAAAGTACAGCCAAGACATGTAGATCATGCTCAGCAGCAACTGCACCATCAGGTTTGAACGCAGCTGCCTCGCCATCTCCCGCTGGTATCTGCTGATGAGGGCACGGACACAAAACCACCAGCCCGTGGCGCCGTGCATGTTGTGGGTGACAGCGATTGTGCTTCCACCGGTGCCCCCTTCGTGTGTGTTGCCCTGGCGCCAACCTTTGCGCAGCGTGAACTTCTTGCTCAGCCAGTTGTCTCCGCTGTGCTGTGAATCGGGCACACCCCGACCACCACCACGAGTGGTGCTGATGATGCCGTGGCTGCTGCCGTCGCCACCGCTGTTCGTGTGCTTGTTCTCACGGAACTGCTTCTTGGTTAGGTCGTTGCTGTTGCCGTAAACATCGCGCACACGCTTGCTGTGAGACTGAGGGGCTGGAACGGACAAGTGCGTGCCGCGTTTGCCTGTTGGTGATGTCGAAGACACGGGTGTCGAGGCCGACAGTGCGGGCGCGACCGTGTGCTTGCTGCTGATCAGTGCAGAGGAGGATGAGGATGAGGAAGCGGCTGTGCTTGGTGGCGCACTGTACTGCACCCGTGCCCGCGTCAGCCAAATCTCCCGCACGCGTGCCGCCGCCTTGCGAATGGCGCGCTCAACTCGCTTTCGCACCCCCGTTGTTTCGAGGCTGGCCATGACTGCTTCCTCATTCTCCTCCCGCTGCATCTCGTCGAGAATGAGATCCGCCGGGTTCTGGTTCGCGCTCGAGGCTTCGGTACTGGATTTGCTGGCGTTGCTGGTGTCGCTGCGTGGCTGGACGCAGTCACGCCACTTGCCCGCCAGCTCAACCATCGCACTTGGTTCCCCAGTTCCAATCAGATGCCCGTTCTTCATGAGGATGACGCGGTGGAACATGTGGAACACCTCCGAGCGCGGCTGGTGAATGGAGATGATGACGGTGTTTCCGCGCTCAGCAAACGCCCGCAGCCACCGAATTAGGTCCAGTGTACCGGTTGAATCGAGGCCGCTGTGTGTGTGTGTGTGTGTGTGTGTGTGTGTGTGTGTGTGTGTGTGTGTGTGTGTGTGTGTGTGTGTGTGTGGGTGTGTGGGTGTGTGGGTGTGTGTGGGTGTGTGTGGGTGTATTGAGAGATGAAAAGGGGAGAGTAGGTTACATGCGCACAGCAATGAGTATGTGGCAAACTCAACGACACAAAACACACCCACAAGCCCACGACACATCAATCGCGCAACCACACATGCACAAAACCCGCCCACACCACCTTGTTGGCTCGTCCATGGCCAGGACAACCGGGTCTAGCAGGAGCTCCATTGCAACCGCCAATTTGCGTTTCTGCCGCGCAAAACGCACCAACCATAGCATCGCGTCAATCCGATAACGTACGTCACACGTAGGCCGTGCGGGGCTCAACAAACATGTCCCACATGACATGATCACACACGAACGTGATCGACCCAAGCAGCAACACACATCGGAATGCGCGCAAACACACACACACACACACACAAACCGAGCATGTTGTGATCCGATGCTCACACACACTCGCACTCGCACACACACTCGCACTCGCACACACACTCGCACTCGCACACACACACACACACACACCTGTCCTCCGCTCAAACCGCCAGATGCTGCGTGCTTGTTGCCAACGATCTTCACGCACAACAGGGCATGCGAAGGCACATTGTGCATAATGCAGCCCTTCAGTATACAATCACACTCACAGACCACACAGAGTACACACAGAGTGCACAAACGCACGCACGCACACACACACACACACGCCTCACCTTCTGCACACAGCACACAGCACACAACACGCACACATTCACGTGCACTCACCACCCTCACACTCTCCCCAAAGCACGCACCGTGTCGAGGTGAGCACCGAGGCCGACGGTATGGAGGGTGGAGAGCGCCTTGGCCAGGCGTAACTTCAGTGGCATGGAGGCTGGCAGGCGCAGCAGGGCAGCGTACATCATGTTCTCCTTCACAGTCAGAGACGGGAAATATGCACCGCCATATTGCGGCACAAACCCCACGCGCACGCGAAGGCTTTTGTACTCATCGCTCGTCCGCAACAGCCGCCCATTCACGTACACCTTTAACAGCAAGAGGGACATGTACAGTTGGGCGGCGTGGTGGGAGGTGATGGAAGTGGTGCAAGTGGTGAGAAGTGGCGGTTCGAGTGAACATCATGGCGTGGGAACAACAGAGCAGTCAAGGCAACCGCATAGTTGTGCAGTCCTCAGTGGTACGTGCATGGTTGGTGCTCAGGTACCATACCATCAACACAGATACGACAAGAAACACACGCAAGAACCACACAAGAAACTCAGGCATGTGTGCATATATGCAGACGCTCATATGTGCAGACACTCATGCAAACCAAGCGCTGTCACAAACCTGGCCGTTTCTGTTGTTGGACGGGATCAACCCTGCCATGGATTTCAAGAGCGTGGTCTTTCCACAGCCAGATGGACCAAGAATCGCCGTCATTTCCCCTGCACAGATGAAAGCACACGAGCAAGCACGAGGCGACGTGAGTGCAACAGCAGCGATACAGACGCGTAGCTGTTCTTCGTCTTCAAAGCTACACTGCTGCTGCATGCGCACAATCAACCACAACACCTGATCACGCATGCACATAAGCACACTCCAGTACAGCGGACCCACCCAGTGCGTGCATTTAAACACACACACGTACAGAGCCACACACACGCACACACACACACACTCACTCACTCACTCCCACACACACACACACACACACACACACTCACTCACTCCCCCCCCCCACACACACTCACACTCACACACTCACACACACGCATAGCCCCACTTAGACCCCCAACACACACGCACACACACACACACACACACAGATGCGCAAAGCGAAACGCACAAGGGTTGACAAAGGCGCTGATGTCATGAAGGAGCTGGCGCTTGTGCGTGTGCGTCCAGACGTTCAGTCCATACATTGCAATGCTGAGATGCTGTGCCTTCCAGGGATACAGCAGCACATCAGGGTCGGCATCGTACAGCTCAGCTGCCTCCAACGCTTCTAAATGCGGCGTGTGGATGGTATCCCGTGCCCCGCCTTGCTCGCTCGCGCTCTCGTGCACCAGCTGCTTAAGGAGGGTACGGTGCTGGCGAAACTTGTACCAAGCACACACGTTGCACATGAACAGCACGACAATGACAAGGATGAAGAAGGCCATGCAAAGGATCGGCAACAGGGAACCATCGGTCCATAGCCACTCGTCTTCGCTGGTGAGGATGCTGAGCACGGGCGGACACATGGGATCGCAGTCCACCCCTCGACACGCCGGGAAAGATGTGAGGTGCAAGTGCTGAGTGTCGGTGCTGCTGCTGTTGCTGTTGTTCGTGGTGGCGGGGCTGGTTGCCAGCCACCATCTGTTCACGAACGCGGGCATCGCCACATTGCCGTTGGCAAAGTATGTGTGCCACATGTCCAAGACGAAGGTGAACTGAAACATGCCATTCCTCACCACCCCGTCGTCTGCCTGCCTATCTCCAACCATGACGAGAAATCCGTGGTGGAAACAGGGCGACACAAACACGCTCAGAGCCGACACCTGCTGGATAGCCCGCTTGACCTGTGCCAAGGCAACACCGCCATACTCTTCCGCGAAACTCATCACCTCAGCCAATTCGCTCAGGCTTGGTTTGCTCTGAAGCAGCATTCTCTCGTACCGCTTCACCCCCTCAGCACCAGCATTGAATCCCTATTGTGTGTGCAAGTGTATGGGGAAAAGGGTAGGTGGGTGTGTGTGTGTGTGTGTGTGTGTGTGTGTGTGAGTGAGTGTGTGTGTGCGAGTGTATGCGTCAGCAAGAGGGTGTACACGAATTCATGCGAGTGCGTGCATGAGTATGAGTTTGTGTGTTTGCGTGTTCGCATGCGTGTGTGCGCATACGACAACGCAAACAGCATGACTGCAGTGCTGACCTGGCAACCACACAAACCACCCAGGGAGGCGCACCAACACCTGCACGCCCTCACCACAAATCCAGACAACCAAGAACGCGCACTCAAGCATGGCACACACGAACCAGAAACAGCGTGTAAGGGTCGTATTTAGACGTGAGGAGAAGAACCGGAAACGCTGGGTTGTGTGCGTGCAAAGCTCGCAGGCTGCACTGCACCTCGGCGCAGCAAGGAACAGGGTAGCCTTGGGACGACACTTGACCACACAAGTCGGCGAGCGCCGCAAAGTAGTCTCGCTGCCATGAGGAAGTGACGGATAAGCCCGTGGCGTTGCCGTTGGCTTGAGTGACGCTGGCAGCAAATGCGTCCAAGCTTGCGTGAACGCGACCGGGCGATGCATAGAAGGACAGAAGGTCCTGATTTGTGAGCAGGGCCTCCTCCAAGATGCCATCCTGGTTCACAAACCAAGACGAGTCGACCAGCAGCTGCAGCTGAGCACCTCGCAGCCACACCATGGTGCTGTTGCTGTGTGAGCTGTTGGTGCCATGGGAGGGCTGCTGCGCCAGCGTGGACAACAGCGCATAAGCATGGGCCACAGCAGCAGTGCCACCAGCAGAGGTGCCGCTGAGCAGAACGCGCGTGGCTGGCGTGTTGGCGTGCGCGGAGTCGAGCCACTCAAGCGCGGCCATGATGTTAAGAGCGCCCCGAAACCGCAATGCAGCCAACTTCCTCGAGCTTTGAGTCGCTGTATCGCCATCACCGCCGCTTGATGGTTCAACGGGAATGTCGTCTGCCCGTGCACCGAGAAACAGGTCTTGCGAGCAGTAGGGCAGGTACACTTTGTTGGCGTCGTGAAAGGCGGGGTTCAAGGCCGCGTCATGGGAGAAGAGGCCACCAAGATCCCAAGCCTCGTACGCGGTCGGGGACTCCTTTGAGGACATGAGACGGGGGCTACTGCTGAAGCGCGTGCGTGCCTCGTCGATCGAGCGGGACAGGGCGCCTCCCTGCAGGAACAGGATCCAGATGCTTGAGTTGTCGCGTCGCTCCACGAAGAAGGTGTACGGGGTGCCATCCGCACAGCTGCTGGGATATGTCCGGGCGTCGCTGTCCTTCAGTTGCACCTTCTCCATTTGTACGCCGCCGGCGCACGCATGTTGCTGTTGCGTCAGCGCAAGGACCACGACGAGAGCGACAGCATGTCTCAGGAGCCCACGAGAAACGGTTCCTCGGCGTACTGTGTACATCAAGCCTGATACAGCGTGGCACTCGCGTCTGTCTGTGTAACATGAAAATCAACCACACAGAACACGAGTGGCTTGGCTTGTTTTGTGTGGGTGTGGGTGTGGGTGTGTGTGTGCGTGCGTGCGTGATGTGTGGTGTTTGTTTGCTTGTGTGGTGTTTGCTCGTTTGTGTGTTTGGTCGGTATGGTGCGTTGACAGAGGGAACGCGTACAGGTGAAAAGGATAAAACAAAGAGAGGGACCTCGGGCATCTGGCTTGCCCTTGAGCCCGTTTTGATGTATGACATCATGCTATGCGAGATGTGAAAGGCAAGCAACCCGCTCCCCAACGCAGCAACGCCACTCACACACACACACACACACACACACACACACACACACACACACACACACACACACACACACACACACACACACACACACACACACACACACACACACACACATACATACATACAAACACGCGCAAACATACACGCGCAAATACACACACACACACAAGAAAGGAGCCGAAGCAAGCTTGGCAGCTGTGAGGTGGTATCGTTGTTTGTCGTGTGCTTGTGCTTGGGCAGATGTGTCTCACCGGCCACAACAACAATGCACACCAGGGCGAGAGGTCATGCGCAGATGGCTGCTTTCATCTTCACGGTGCTGTTGATCATCATCAACAACAACGTGCAGTATGGGGCTCACGCGCAGCACGCGGGCAGCTCAGCATCAGTAACAACAACGGCAACATATCCGCTACCTGGCGCTGGTGCAAGCACAACAACGAGCATCAACAACACAAACGTCTCCCACACCTCCGGCCACATGCCGGCATCGGCAGAGGCAGGCCCAGTTGTTCCGGTACAAGTCCGCTCCATCATCAGTAACGCATCGGCCACAAACTGCAGGTGCTTCGACGGCAGTGCCTATCAGTATTGGTACGTGCCCGGTAACGCCAATGCAACGACCACTGCAAACTTGACGTGGGTACTGTACTTCCAAGGCGGACCCACCTTACAGTCCCTCCGTGATGTTGACCATATTGCGGATGAGTACTTGAGCGTGCCAGACTTGGAGGACGTGCTGCTTGACGGCGACTTTGGAGACGCATTGTCCAGCAACGAAGACATCAACCCACACCTCGCCAGCGCAACCAAAGCCGTCCTGCCGTACTGTCATTTGGATGCATGGACAGGAGCAAGCGACGATGCACACAGCCCCAATGACACTGCCACAAGCACATCATCATCATCATCATCATCATCATCATCATCATCATCATCATCATCATCATCATCATCATCACCGCCACCTGCGGAACCTGTTTTCCAAGGGTTCACATGCACGCTTCGTGTGATTCAGGACATGCTTGCCCTCAACGAGCAGCCGCCGGAGCGGGTGGTCGTTGTGGCGCGTGGCTTCAATGGTGCAGGTGCGCTCGCACATGCGACTGCCTTGGCAAGTGCCCTGAAGCAGCCACCATGGAATGGTGCCACCCAACGGCTCTGGCTGGTGCTGGATGACGTTTGGTACACGGATCACGACAACATTTTGCAGGAGAGCCTGCTGTCTGTGGAAGACACCATCAGCTTCTACAACCCACCCAATCAAACCACAGCCCCTGTCAACATGCCTGCGTGGGAGGAAACGTACCGAAATGAGTTTGCGCGGCTGTGCCGCAACAACACGCTTCTCAGTGACAATCACGCCATTCTGCCCTGCTGCCTGGACCCGGCCTGTCTCTTGCAAGAACTTCACGCCGCCACAGACAAGGCGCGTGTGGCGCTGCTCTCCTCCAAATACAACCCCTACCCCATGTTCCTGGTATGTTCCTGGGCTGATTGCTTTAGTTGTTGCGGTGTGGTTGGGTTCCTGGTGGTGGGTGGGTGAGTGTGTGGGTGAGTGTGGTTTGTTCAAGTATGATGATGGCTTTCTAATGCCTTGTTTGGGCGCATGTTTGTACACCCGCATTATGCGCCATGTGCACGCAATGCAACACACACAAACACAAACATGCACACACACAAATACACACAAACACAAACTGACACAATCATGCATACACGCAAGCACACACACGCACACATACATGCCCGGACACAGAAATGCAAGTTCCTTGGGCTCTCCTGTCTGCTCACACCACATCTTTGACACTCCTCGACCCCCTCTCAACTTGTGACATGCCGCTGTGTCCTTGCAGGGCTTGTTGAGGGGCGCAAGTGCCACTCAGGCGTTTGACTACCTGACAGAATCGCAGCTGTCCACCGTTCAGCAGCTGTCGGACCTCAGCAACTTCTTTGAGGAGCACGCCGGTCTTGTAGTGGAACAGCTCACCCAGGCCACAAACAACGCAAACGTGACCCTGCCACCAATCATCACGCTTGCGTCCCCGTGCCTGACGTATGGCACCACGGCCCAGACGCAGCTTGATTTTCAGCCCGATGGCGTGCTGGACCCCTCCCTCCTCTCGAGCAGCGCCGTTGTCAGCTCGTGGAATGTTGTGTTTCCGGGCACGAACACGTCGACACGAGACACTGTCATGGACTGGCTTCTCCGACAGGACGCGCCCTCCGCCTTCCTCGCCCCTGCTTGCAAGGGTGTTGCGTGTGACCCAAGCTGCCCCAACATCATCGGTAGCGGCTTGACGGCAAGCCCAAGCCAGTGGCTGTCCGTGATTGACTTTGCCGTCATCGTGTTTGTCGGCACGCTGCTGGCTGCTGGCGTCATCACTGGTCAGATCGCCTGGCTGCGCACGCGCTTCCTCATGCGGAAGCTGACAAGACTCGAGCTCATGCCTCTGCTCACGGCCACCCACGCCCATAAGCGCAACTCCAAGCCGCATCGCATGTCGTCCCACGTGCGTCGCGTCTTCCGCAAGCGCCACCTCACCAAGCGATCAGAGGTCCTGCGCAACCAACTCTTTACGCGGCTGGAGCGGTCGCAGCGCATCGGCCTTGCAGCAGACGGCCTCAGCTACTGGACTCCCGGCGAAAACAGCAAGCAGATTCTTCACAACGTCTCCGTCTTTGCCAATCCCGGTGTGTGTGTGTATGTGTGTGACGGTGCGTGTGTGTGTGTGTGTGTGTGTGCGTCTTGTGCGTGTGGGTGTACGTGCGTACTTGTGTACTCGAGTGTGGTTGTACTCTTGAGTGCATACACTTTCTGGTGTACGTGCCTGCAAGAACCACCTTCATGTCTGTCGCTCAACATGTGTCTTTCTTCTTCATCCTCTGTTACCGGCGTGTTATCGCCTCTTGACGTCGGTTGTCTGCGCAACTGCCACCAGGCCAAATCACCGCCATCATGGGCCCGTCCGGTTGCGGAAAGACGACGCTCATGGACGTCTTAATTGGGCGGCGCAAAGTCGGCAAGATACGCGGAAAGGTGGGGACATTTTGTGCGTGTGTGCTCGTGTGTATGTGTGTGTGTTGGTGTGTGTGTTTGTGCGTACATGCATGTGTGTGTGTGTGCACCTGCATCGTTAGGAGCTCCCTGTCGTCGTTGCTTGTGTGTGTGCGTGTGTGGTTGTGTGTGCGTGTGTGCGTGTGTTTGCATCGTTGGGTCTGGGTGAAACCAGCAAGTCACTTAGCGACGGCTCTCAAGTCACGTGCTTTCCTTGCCTTGCTATTGAACAGTGCATGATCAACGGCTGCGAACTGCACCACAAGTACGAGGAGCGGACGCTGAAGCATCGCGTGGCGTATGTCGAGCAGTTGTGTGGCGCCTATTTCAACGACATGACTGTCAGGGAAAACGCAATGTTCAACGCCATGCTTCGTCTTCCATCGTCCATGCCAACAGAGGAGAAGCTCGTTCGTGCTCTCTCTGCCCTGAAGACAGTCAACCTCCTCCAGTTCGCAGACCAGGTACGCACACATGGCCGTGTCGCAGTACCCATGCGTGCGGCGCTCTCTGTGCGTACTACTGTGACGAGTTGTGGGTGCTCGAGTGTGGCGTTGTGTTTGAGAATGTGTGTGAGGGTGGTGTGTGAGTGTGGCGTGAGTTCCTGCGGGACTGTTGGCGATGTACTACGAGCGCTTGTGCGGCACTGTGTGCACCCGTCACATGTATTCACAAATGCACTTGTTGTAGATCGTGGACACTGGTTCTGGGGGCCTCAGCGGTGGACAGGTGAGCTGATGGTGAAGTTGTCTGCGTCGACGTTGTTCCTGACTGTCGCATATTCCCGTTGCCAACACTGACTATGTCGCTGTCGTGCCTGCGCTCCGCCTTCTTTGATCGCATGCATGCACACACTTGCATGAACACGCATGTATGCGTTTGTCCGTTTGTGCTCCGTACCCGTGCACACGCACCAGCACGTTCGTGACCACACTCGTATGTTCATCACACCCAAATGCATTCTCATGCATCCGCCCATACATGCACAGAAACGCCGCTTGGCCGTTGCAATGGAGCTCTTGCTTGACCCGGCTGTCCTGGCCATGGACGAGCCAACAAGGTACAGTGGGCGGGTCTTGTGCGTGCGTGCGTGTGTGTGTGTGTGGGTGAGTGTGTGTGTGTGTGTTGGTGTGTGTGTGTGTGCTGCTACTGCTGCTGGTTGGTGTGATTCGTGCCGTGGACTGCGTGGATAGTGTTTCGTTTACACTGTTGAAAACGAGTTGGTACAGATACAGGCGCACTTACATGTGTGGTTTGTACATGTCTACCAACCCCCTCACCAAGTGTCAACAAACACACCACAACCACACAACCACATTCGTACATACATACGCGCACACACGCACGCGCACACACATACACGACTTGCAGCGGTCTTGATTCCAATGGCACGTGGGATTTTATGAACTGGCTGTGGGACTTTGCGCGGACAGGACGGACAATTGTTGTTTCCATCCACCAGCCACGCTCGGAGGTGTTCCACATGTTCCACCGCGTGATTCTCATGAAGAAAGGCCACGTTGCTGCCTTTGACAAGCCACAAAACCTCGTGAACCTTGCAAACGCGTGGCGTGCAAAGGCGGAACGCAAGCGCCTGCCCAAGATGGCAAGCTTGGCAGAGGGCCTCAATCCGGCGGACTTTGTGCTGGACCAAGTGAAGCGACCCGACCTCCACCACATTGTCATCAGCTCGTTCGACCGCACGCGCACACGTGCTCGTGTTGAACGCAGCATCCGGCGTGCCGTGAGCATGCTCAATGCAGCGCGGGACACCCTTGCGTACCATCTGGGCGTGTTGCGCCACAGGAAGCACGAACTGAAGCGACTGCTGCACGGCAGCTCTCTGAGCATGAGCAACAGCAACGATCAGCAACAGCAGCAACACGGTCGGCAACCACATGACCAGCAGCAACATCAGGATTCACTCGATGGCGTCAAAGGGCCAAGGCACTCAGACGATCAGTCTGCAAGTGCTGCAGTCTGTGGTGATGGCGATGGCGGAAATGGCGATGATACTGAGGGGTTACACCGTTCACACCAGGACGAGGTCGTGGAACGCGTGGTGGACAGCAGTGATGTTGCAGACATTCTCGATCGAATCCGCGACAACCTGCATCGCTCCGAGAAAGACCTGTATCTGCCAAACGGGGAGGACATACTCACCACGGCGCATGCACCGCTGCGTGTGCTGTTGCTCACGGGCCGCTTCCTGAAACGCCTGCCGTCGTCTTTCTTCGTGGTGATGGCGCTGAAGGTCCTGGCGAACGCACTTGGCTACTCGTGGCTGTACAGCAACGCGCAGGCTGCATACGTGGTGCTGTCATGTAACTTCTCTCTCATGTTTGGATTTCCCTTCCTCCTCGCCAACTCGTTTGGGTCTCGCATCATGACGTACCTCGAAGCATTTCGCCTCGAGGCCCAGATCGGCGTCGTCAACGCGTTTGAGGTGTGGTTGTTTGTGCGCTTGCGTGCGTGCGCGCACTTGCGTGTGTGTAAGTGTGCGTGTGTGTAAGCTGTGAGTGTGCGTGTGTGTTGTTTGCTTGTGGGCTGGCATGCGTTTGTACGTGGTGGTTTGCTTGCTTGCGCGTGAGTGTGTATGTATGCGTGTGAGCACGCGCATTTGCATGCAAGCTTGTTCCTTCGTTTACCTGTCTATACATGCGTTGGCTTGCTCGCTCTTGTGTGTGTGTGTGCGCAAACACCTTCCATGCTGAGCTTGAACCTTTGTGTTGAAGCTTCACTACTTGTCTTATTTGTCCTGCTCCCATGTGTGTGTGTACCGATGGATGCTCATCCCCGTTGTACACCGCGCCTGTACAACACCATTCTTGTAGGTGATTCTCGGCATGTTCATTGCAATGAGTGCCAGCGTGCTGCCCCTCTGTCTTGCGCTGTACACCGTTGTGTACGGCATTGTCTACTGGGACGCCTTTGAGCTTGAGCGTGTGCTGGGGACTTCCCTCATCCAGCTCCTCAACGTGCAGGTGCTCAACGCACTATTCCTTGCGCTGTGCGGTCTGTGCCACCGCAACAGCCTGAGCGCGCGCCATGCCCTTGCTTACTTCACCTCCATCGTGGGCGTGTTTGCTGCGCTGAGCGGGTTCCTTGTCTCCCCCGGCGACGCCACAGATCCGCAGCTGGTTCTCTACCACACGTCTCCGCTCTACTTTGTGTTCAGCGCAGCAGCCAAGATGGGGCTCAACGGCCTGAGCCTGGTGTCGTGCCAGGAAGAGGCTGGGGTGCTGGCCAGCTTCGTGTGCGAGGCGCAGTCGCCGTCGGGTGTGCTGTCGCTCCGAGGATACGACACGGTCAGTGTTGGCCTGATGCTGCTGGCGCTGCTTGGATGGAACATCTTGCTGCTGATTGTGGCAGCCATGGCCATCAGTGAATCCCCACTGCCTGCTCTGCGACTGTCACGCGATCACCCGTCTGTGTGGCGGAAAATGAGCAAACAGCGCATCGAGCAGCACGGCCAGCGCTACCTCATCAGCTTCATTGCGTCGTCCGGCAATGGCAATGCGAATAACCCACCGGCAACCACATCAACATCGTCGTTATCGTCAACAACAACAACAGCGCCATCGCCGCCAAGAGCTACAAGCAGTTTCAAGTCTTCCGCGCCCACGTCTGCAGAGCATCGCCCATCGCTCCCCGTGGTAGACGAGGACGATGCAGGCCACGTGTTTGTGCTGCCCGCGGTGAAGCGGCTGACGCGCCCAAGGGGCTTCTTCTCACACTCCACCCAGTCCTCCATTCGCTTCAAGCATCACCCGCAGCGTCACCACCATCACCACCATCACCACCACCAGCATGCAAGCCGCCGGTCCACGATGATGAGTGACGACCTGGTGTCCGTGCACCACAGACCCTCGATGCTGCTGCCTGTTGCCGAGGTGGCGGAGGAGGGTGAGGAGGAGGCGAAGGAGGAGGAGCAGCCGGGTGCTATGCAGCACGCCAGACAGGGCGAGCGCGAAGGGCTGATATTGGATGGCGGTGTCATGCCTGATGATACCGCGGCCCGCACATACCCAAAGTGGAGCAGCGTCGGCAGCAACGGCAGCAGCGTTGGCGGCTTTGACACTGGAGGCACAGCCACGCCCAGCCTGGCGCACGCGGACGGCACAACCCAGCTGGCAGCCACGCAATCCCACCGCAACCCGCGCCCGTCCATTGCCGCGCCAGCAGCGGCAGCCGGGATGATGCAGGCGCGTGCAATGGGCAGCCTGTCGTCGATCGGAGCCGAGCTGCGCGGCCTGGCTACTCACGACGCCGGGTGGGAGGATGTGCGACGGGCAAGTGTGCTGGATCTGATGGACCTGCCAAGCTCGGACGATGAAGACGACGATGACGATGAGCAAGACCTGCAGACGGCGCAGAACGAGATGCTGATGGCCATCTCGGGCGTGCTCGGGCAGCACTCCACGCGCGCCGTGCACTCGTGGCTCACGCAGCGAGAGAAGAACACGTCGGCGTTGCTGGAGATGCTGGCAAACCCGCGGAACCGCTGGCAGCGGGCCGTGTACCAGCTGCTCAAGAAGGGCGCGCTGCAAGCGGGCGCACCACAACAACAAGAAGCAGAAGAAGAGGCGCAGCTACACCAGGCGCACCGTCAACAACAGCAAGAGCAGTGGCAACACGAGACACCAGCAGCGAGTGTGCCTGGTGTGCCGCCTCAGGACAGCGGCGTCTGCGGTGTGGATGATGTGCCCGCGCACCCCCGTGCATCAAAGAGAGTCGTGGACTTCTCGCTGCCCGCAACACACAGCATTGGCTCGTATGATGAGAATGATCGTGGAGACGGGCACAAGGCAGCCCACGCTGATAAAAACGACAACAGTGACAACAAGGAAGACGAAGGTGGCAGCGGTGTTCGACAAACGAGTGTGTCGGCCGTCCGCGGTCCAATGCGGAGGAGGAGGGCGCGGATGTATGGCCGTCGTGCCACGCAAGTGTGACGGGCGTGTGTGTGTGTGTGTGTTTTGCGTGTGCTAGTGTGTGTGTGTGTGTGTGTGTGTGTGTGTGTGTGTGTGTGTGTGTGTGTGTGTGTGTGTGTGTGTGTGTGTGTGTGTGTGTGTGTGTGTGTGACGCGGGGGGGGGGGGTGCGCGCGTGTGTGGATGTGTTTGCGTGTGATAATGTGTGTGTGTGTGTGTGTGTGATAGTGTGTGTGTGTGTGAATGTGTTTGCGTGTGATAATGTGTGTGTGTGTGATTGCATGACATGAACTTGGTTTTAGGGTGTTGAATGCACTGCTGGTCAGAGCACGTGGGATGTTTCTTTGTGGTTGCTTCGCCTGATTAACTGAACGTATGCATGTTGTTGCTGGATCGCGTGCACATGAGAGTATTTTGATCATATCCTCTGTTGGTTCCCTCACATACACATTAGCTCTCCCTCGTGCAACTCACACCACCAAATATGTGTGTGTGTGTGTGTGTGGACTCACACAAAAGGACTGTCGTTCTGAGCCATGGATGATTGAGGTTTGGAGTGTAGTAATTTGGCGTGGGCACGCCGTCACAACAAGTTGGTGGGAAAGCAGTGGACTGTAAACAGCGCAGTCACAGGAGCACACACATCCATGCAGGCAACAGAAGCACGGGCACGGTGCCAGTCAGTGCAGGGAGAGAAAAAACAACATGGAAGGTGGTGGGTGGTGTGTGGAAAGTGGGTGGCAGGTGACGTGTTTAGGCGTCCAGCTTGGCCTCCTTGGCAAGGAAGGTGGCGCAGCCGTTGGCAATGATGCCGGCGTCACGCGTGCAGCGGGACTTGACCTGGCGGTGATGGTGATGATGGCGGTGGTAGTGGTTGGCAACGGGGGGGGGGGGAGTTGAGAATTGGGACATGCCATGGCAAAGGTTCATGCACACACACGAAAAGGCAACGCCACAACGTAAACCACACACACACACACACATACATACATACATACATACATACATACATACATACATACATACACACACACACACACATACATACATACACCTACACCCACACAAACACACACAAACACACACATACATACATACATACATACATACATACATACATACATACATACATACATACATACATACAAACAAACACACACAGCACACGCACAGACTCAGAACACACCTGACGGCACCAGAGGGTGCCACGGACGTCGCTGGCGGCCTTGCTCCAGTCGTGCTGCTTGATCAGGCTGATGAAGGTGGTGAAGGACGACATACCGGCATAGCCGCTGTGGGGAAGAAGAAAGAGACGGGGGAGGGATGGTGACGAGGTGTGAGGAACAGAACAGGGAAAACAAAGCACCGCAGCATCAAAGCAGCAACAAGCAGAGAAAGGCACGGACAGGCAGAGGGAGAAACAGAGACACAGAGACAAGAAGCCGCACACACACACACACACACACACACACACACAGAGAACACGACGTACAGGTTGTAGGTCATGTCCGTGACGACGGCGTCGATGCAGGAGCACTGGTTGCCGAAGATGCGGCGGGCATTCGTGGAGGCAGCAGACACCTCACCGGCGAGGAGCTCGTTGCACTGGGTCTGGGAAAGGCAGCCACCTGAAGCCGCAACAGCACCAAGTCAAGCATGTCACGAAGAAGAAGAAGAAGAAGAGCAAGAAGAAGAACAAGAAGAAGAAGAAGAAGAAGAAGAAGAACAACAACAACAACAACAACAACAACAACAACAACAACAACAACAACAACAACAACAACAACAACAACAACAACAACAACAACAACAACAACAACAACAACAACAACAACAACAACAACAACAACAACAACAACAACAACAACAACAAGGAGAAGAAGGCTTCACAAGACCGCGCCCCGCCGGAGCAGCAAGCAGGCAAAAAAGGAGAGGCAAACAAACAGCAAAAGCCACGACGACATGTGGGCGCACAGCACGCCTCAACTAACTGACCGTGGTTGTACACCTGGTCCCAGTTGCCGCCAACAGCCTGCACCTTGGACTTGGCGCCCGCGGCGTCCAGGTTGAAGCCATAGCAGATGGTCTGCAATGGGCACAGCGCGTGTGCGTGTGTGTGTGTGTGTTTGGGGTCAGTCACAGTGACGAGTGTGGACATGGATGATGCGCCTGTGGAGGCAGGGCAAAGCCGATAGGGTAATCAAGCACACATACACACACACATTCACAGACTCACACACACACGCGCACATATTCACAGACGCACACACATACGCACACATGTGTCCCACAGACACACTTAAGCTCGCCGCACCTTGTGACCGGTGGTATCCACGTCTGATGGAAGCGCAGAGCATGTGTGTGTGGATGGGTGTGACATGGGAGATAGTGAGCACAGTTGGAAGAAAGCGTAACGCGGTGCATTTCTCCTGTGAACCGACACGTCCGCGTACTCAGCACAACGTCATCACCATCCACCAGTCACCTACAACACCCAAACACAAACAAGGCAACGCACAAAACAAGCAGCACGCGAACACACGCACGCACACGCACAAAAACAAAAACACCGAAGCAAAACAACGCACACACTACACAGGCCACGCTTACAGGTGCAAGGGCGGTAACCCTCAGCCTGCTTGATGAGGTTGGTGGCAGACTCGCATGCCATGGAGGCAGTGGCGAGCGCCGCAACAAGCACAACAGCAGCAATCACACGCATCGTGGCTGGTGGGAGAGGGTGATGGTGGTGGCAAAGTTGGTTCTGGCTGTGGGAAAACAAGTGAGTGAGAGAGATTGTGGAGGAAGAAGACAAAACAAAAACAGGCAGGCCGTGTTTGGACTACACTTTATGTTGACGTTTTTAACAAGAGGCTAGACTGAATTCAGACTTACACACGTTTGGTCCGTTTTTCGTTTTGTTGGTTGGTGTTTCGTTTTGAGGGCACGAACGAAGGTTTTCGCACACAACCACCACCCCACGTGCCACTCTTCCTTCCTGTTCTGCCACTGCCCTGGAAGCCACAGCAGCCCAACCAAAGTCCTGCGGCGTTCCTTCTCCCTCATCATGGGCATGATGAAAGAGAGAACGCATGCGTGATGGCTGCAGCCACCAAGCAAGCCAAGCAGTGTGCCCCTTGCGTGAGCCTTGTCAGCCCTTGCGTTTCGTTGAGTTGGGCTGTCTGTTTCGCCACCCACACACTTCCAACTTCCAAGAACAACCACCTTTGCCAACCAACCAAAGACTACTGCCAGGGTTTCATCAGACAAGCGTTTTCGCCTGCCAAAACTCGCACCAGCACAGCAGACAGACAGACAGACCATCCAGCAGCAGCAGCATGAGCAAAGCGCCAGCGTGATGTCAATGCATTTATCACACCATACCACACACCACACCTCACCGCGCTCAATCTCGGCGTGCCAGGGCTTCCCAACACACGCGCCCGCCGACAGTGGTTGATGTTTAGTTCTCCTGTGATCAGCCTGAACAACGAAGAGCAGCTGCCGTTCCACAACCAACACACACAACACAAGCGACCGAGCAACCAACCCACCAACCCACCAAGCAAGCAGACAAGCAAACAACAGCGCACTCATTTCATCAACACGCTGACAGCTCCCTTGTACACCGAGGTGCTGGCCTTTCTCGGCGTGCTCTCTCAAACGCAGTCGCTCGCCCTTCGCTGCGCTCAACAGACCCGCTTCGACTCCATTGACAAAATCCCTTCCCCCCCCCCTCCCTTTCTGATTCACGTCATTCGATCGTGCTTCTCTCCCAGCTCTCCATCCGATCACCAAGCACAGCCAGCCGCGTTTCTTTCCCCCCCCCCCAGCTCTATCGCACCGAAATGCTTCGCCACGGCGGCATGAGCGAGATGGTGCAGCATCTTCCCCCGCCACCGAGCACGGAGCTCACCATGTTTGCAGAGGATTTGCCCCTGCAGCTCCACGCTCAGGTTGCTACAGCAGGCCAAGCCTTCAGCTTTGGCTTCGACGACGACGACGACGATGACCATGTTGATGATGACAGCAGCAGCACAGACTCCTTTGACGTGCAGGATGAGATTAACCGGCAGCTACTCAAGCTGGAACAAATGAAGCGGTTTGCGATGCAGCCCCAACAACATGCCCTGAACCATCATCATGATCAACGACAGCAGCTTAAACCACAACAGCTACAGCACCAACAATCACAACGGCAGCAGCAGCAACACGAACCAAACCATCAGCACCAGCACCAGCACCAAGCGCCACCGCTGAGCGCGAATGCAAAGACTTGCCCAATTCTTGCTCGTGCTGACGAGGGTGCTGTATCTTGCTCATCAGGAACGTCATCGTCATCCTCCGCGCCGGCGACGGCAACGCCCCGGCTCCACCAGCAAGCGCACACTCAACCACCTCCCTCCTCCTCATCGCCGTTGAAGCCATTTCCCCAGACCCACCGCCTCCAGCATCACGAGCAGCGCCAACAGTCGCCACGCCTGTCCCCGTTTTCGCGATTGCACGAACCAGATCCGCGGCAGCAGGATTCGGCCCCCCTGACAACAACCCCGCCCAACGCGCAAAGAAAACGGGGCACCACCGGCAGTGTGGAGGTTACCGCACGTGCAACCACGCACAACGGGTTCAGTCCACCGCCGACTACCTCACACATGCCAGCACAACACGCCCCGCTCCAGTTCCAGCCGTTTGCTGGAGCAACAAAGGGATCAGTGCTGCCTGCAAGCACGAGCAGCAGCGACCCCAGCGCGGCAGCCACAGCAGCACCTGCAACTGCGTGGCTGTCAACACGAGGTGGTGCTGAAAGCAACCAGCGACGCTCATCACTGCAGAAGGAGATTGATCACTTTTTCTCCACACCAGACATCACAATGGAGCTCTCTGGTCTCGGGTCGCTGCCTCCGCTTGATAACTGCGGAAGCGTGTGGTGGTCGCCAGCACCGTCATCACCGCTACTGCCCCAGTCGTCGTCGCACGCGGCAGACGCAGGGACGGGGCTACCACAGCCCATGCTGTTGCAACAGCAACCACAGCAGCAACAAGGCTTGCAACAACAACAACAACAACAACAACAACAACGACAGCAGCAACGACAGCAGCAACAAGACCTGCAGCATCAAGGCTTGCAACAACAACAACGACAGCAGCAACAATGCCTCCTGCCACAACAACAACAACAACAACAACAACAACAACAACAACAACAACAACAACAACAACAACAACAACAACAACAACAACAACAACAACAACAACAGCAGCAGCAGCAGCACAGGTTGGTGTCAGAGCCAGTGCGTGCACGAATGTCGTCACCTCCAATTCCCGTCAACCACACTAGCACCATGCCAAAACCAGCAGCGGTGCCACCAGTAGCGACAACGCCAACAAACCTCGCGATGGATGCCGCTTTTGGCACTGCTGCCACTGCACTCAACCAAGACACGTTGAACGTGTCACCGTCTCCCCTCAGACCAATCGCGTCTCCTGTTCCAAGCCAGCAGCAGACACACCAACAGCGTGCCCACACACTGCACTTCCACAACGGCAACATCAGCAACGACGTCAGCAGCAACAGCAATAACAGCAGCACTGCGAGTGCCGTTGCTTGCACTCTGCCGAAGCCACCACCTGCACGCGTGGTGCAGTGCCCCGTGTGCGGTGGCCGTGGCCGCAAGAGTCGTCACAAGGTGTGCGGCTGCTGCTACAGCGGCGTCTTCAACGACATCAACAAGTACCTTCGCCACAACGCGCACGTGGTTGCACAGGGTTCATTGACTGTGGATGAGCTGGCGGTTGGCCTCAAGGCCATGCCGCGTGGGTGCCGCAACGGCTACACATGCACGCAGGCTGCATTCTCGGGACCCAAGGAAACACGATGCACACGCTGCCGCAGCGTATTTGCGTGCTCTGCTGTTCCAAAGTTTGCACACATGCTTCTGCGTCGCGCCATTCTCAACGCACGAAAGCAAGCTGCTCGCATGTCAACCTGAACTTTGCACTTTGGTGTGTGTGTGTATGTGTGTGTGTATGTGTGTGTGTGTGTGTGTGTTTGTGTGTGTGTGTGTTGGGTGGTTGAGTTAGGTTTGGCTTGTGTCTGCTTCAGGATAGCATCGTTTCCTTTCTGCCTGTGCATTGCGCTACTTTGCGGTTTGTGCCTCCGCCGCGACCTTCTCCTCATTTCCCTCGTCCTCTTCCTCCTTCCCCCTCCTGTTCCGCACGTGTTTCTCTTTCTTCCTTTCCTCTTCTTCTTGACTGTGCATGGTCAGTGCTTTTGCTGTGCTGAAGCTGCATTGCGTGCTCTGATTGATTAAACCTTGTACAAAAACTACGACACACTGACTGCTTGACCCGGAGCAATGCGACACAAACACACACAAACACAGACACAGACACACAGACACACACACACAGACACAAACACACAGACACAAACACACAGACACAGACACAGACACAGAGACACACACACGCACATCAATCATCAGTGCTTGGTGGTGGCATCAAGGACCGGCTATCCCTGGCATGCTCTCTTCCCACACACAAGAGCAATTGTTCAGACAAGTGAATCTACTCTCCTTGGCTCCGTTCTTGTGCTTGCAAGCACCCGAGTACCCGTGTACCTGCAGTGCGCAGTAAAGACACTGAAAGGCAATGCGTCGATGGCGTGGGGGGTTTGTTCTTCATTGTGGACCAGACTGTTGTTGCCTGAGGTGACACAACAATGCCGCCTCCATGCACAGTGCGCATGCACAAGCCAATACGTGCATACGTGTTGAATACAGGGGCGGCGCAAGAATGGAACACACAGCCTACATGAAAACAAGTCCGCAAAGGCACAAGCTAACTTACAACAGGTCTAAGTTGTCATCACAATCGAGGAAACGGCTACAGCGCAAGTGCACACACGGGTATATAGTAGCAAAGTAGAAGGAAGGATAACGAGGGGTGAGGAGAGTTGAGTATGGTCGTCGTCGTCGTCGTTATTGTTGTTGTTGTTGCTGTTGTTGTTGTTGTTGTTGTTGTTGTTGTTGTTGTTGTTGTTGTTGTTGTTGTGGTTGTTGTGGTTGCTGTTGTTGTTGCTGTTGTCGTCATCGAGACGCTGCGATGATGAGGCGCACGGGCCAATTGCGGTGCCCATGCTGACGGAAAGGACGTGGCCGTTCAGTCTGACGTTGGAAGCACTTTCCGTTCGCGTTGTCGCTCAATCACTGTGCAGCAGCAAGCACACACACGCAGGAAGAAGAACGTGAGTTGAAGATCCATCACAGTTTTGGGGGCTGGCCTCGGCAGTGCAACGAAAGCGGGTCCACAACAAACAGATCTCACACACACACATAATCACACATAATTATCATACACACACATACACACACACACACACGTTGCCGGACGAGTGCGGGGCATGTGCGGGTCAGGGCAATGGACCGACAGCGGGTGCACTTGTTGTCCTCTGCGTGAGTTGTTGCGTTGCCATCCACCGAACAGTGACACACAGCAGAAGGGGCCTTTGTGAGCTAACAACGAGAAGCAGCAGCAGAGGCAGGCAATGTTTCCTGTGTCGAAGAGTCGAGGGCACAACCCAGCAACGTACATGTTTGCTTGTTTTGCTCACCATTGTCGTATTTGTATGCGTTGGGTGTACACCGGTAATTGTTGGTGCATCCGCGAGATACCGATTGTAAATCTGCACACGCACACATGTGGTTCATTGTGACATGGTCATGATGATACCCCACATTAGCATCACAAGTCCGGAAGGACAAAGGGTAGCCACCAAGCGACTTTCCACACACACACACACACACACACACACACACACATACTGACATGTCTACACACACACACACACACACACACGCACACGCACACACGCACACGCACACACACGCACACATACTGACATGTCTACACACACACACACACACACACACACGCACACATACTGACATGCCTGCCCACACACATGCCCATGCGGTCGCATGCATACCTCAGAGTGGGCATGTTTCGACACAACTCAGCACATCACAACAACACATCACAACTCGCGTACGTACGTGATACGAAAGCTTGCAGGTCTGGGTCTGTGTCTGGTGTGTACTCGGGATGGTTTCGTAGCACTTTGCCAATGTCGTTGTAGACACCCCTGAGATGACGATGCGCAGAGTTGCGACGTAGGTGTGAGTGAATGTGTGTGTGTGTGTGAATGTGTGTGTGTGAATGTGTGTGTGTGTGTGTAGCAAACACGGTAACGGTAAGGATTAAACATGAGTGAGCTGAGAGAGCGATGACGGCTGCTATAGTCGTGTCACAAACATGCATGTTGATGCAAACAACACTGCAAGCGTAACCCGTGGACAGCTCACAATCAATCAATCAATATCACTCGTGCTAAACTCACCCGTAGCAGAGACGACACACTCTGTGAAGGAGAAGGGTGGGCGTGGTGAAAAAGGAGAGGTTCGTTTTAACACGAGCGTGAGCTAACGTGAAGGATATCAGTGGCAGGCGTTGAAATCCGGCAAGATCGCATCCAGACCGAAACACGCATACACACACACACACATACACACACACGCACACGCACACACACATGCACACACACACACACACACACACACACACACACACACACACACACACGCGCGCGCGCACAGCTACATACCTGTTGTAGGAGCGCCTGCCGGGTCCTTGGCAGATGGGGCACTGCATGCGCTTGGACTGGTTCTTGTAGAACCAGCCTTCGCGAACTGTCCGTGCCCGCCCAACACCCGCGTGCTGCCGCCGTCGTTGCTGTGGCTGGTCACCATCAATATGCTCAACACCATCACCCTCACCAGTACCCTCATCACCGTCTGTTGTGCCAGGCGTGTGGCGTGTGCTGCGTCTTCTAGGGCGCCTGCGCCTTCTTTGTTTTCTTTGCGTGTGGTTGTGGTGGTCTCCAGGACAATGCACGCCATCGTTGCACTCACCGCCATCCCCGACGCCGTCAATCCCATCAATGCCATCGATCCCATCAATGCCATCGATCCCATCAATGCCATCGATTCCATCAATGTGGTCGTCATAATCACCAATGCCATAATTGTCACCATCGCCACCACCACCACCACCACCAACATCACCACCGCCAACACCAACATCATCATCATTACCAACACGGCCTGCATTGCCGTCACCAACACCATCGTTCTGCTGCAGCATAAGCTCGCCATCCTCCAATGCATGCGCCAGACGCATGTTGTCGTCGCCGTCATCACCATCACCATCACCATCACCATCACCATCACCATCACCATCACCATCACCACCATCACCATCAAGCACACCCAGCCCTAGAGCACTGCCGATGCTGCCGTTGTTGTCAGTGTTGCCAGTCCTGGTGCCTTGGACATGATGGAATGCGTGTGCCAGGGCCTGCATCGTGTCAGTACGCCCTTCAGTCGGCGCTGACTGCGTGGGCGGTGTACTTGCTGCAACGCCAGCAAGCGTCGGTTCATGCAGCTGCTGGTGGAGCTGCCATGGGAAATGGAGCGGCAGGGGCAACGGAAGTTGTTGCTGGTGTTGCTGTGGCGGTGGAGCAATGTTGCCTTCGTCGAGATCAGCTTCAGCAAGGCTGCCGCGGGGCAACCCTTGTTCGTCAGCATCAGCTGCTGACAGGAATGCCGCTTTGGTGTCAGGCAGCCCGGCGCTTGTTGAGTGTATACGCCGCTTCCCCTGCTGCTTCCCCGCAAACCCGCTACTGTTGGTGTTGTTGGTGTTGTTGGTGTTGCTGCTGCGGCCACTGGCGCTCGCAGTGCCTGCCGTATCCGTTGTTTGGTTCGATGGGCGGGGCTGCCTACGCTGTGACCGTGTGGGCACAGCAGTAGCAGGCTGCGGCAGCGGTTCCATGGTGCTGGACAGATACGGCATGACGGGCGCGAGTGGTGTTGGTGCTGCATTGGGGTGCGCCTGGGCTGAGGGTTGTGCAGGCACACCCACGTGCTGCGGCCACCCAACATGCTGTTGTTGCTGCTGTTCCAGCGTCTGTTGTGGGGAGAAAAACTGAAGAAGCGCAAGCAAGGCGTCGTTCGGCAGCTGGTCCTGACGATGGGCGTTGCCTGCAGGCACGGTGGATAGCGCAAGACCGCCCCCAACCAACCCAGTTGCCGTTGACGGTGCAGGCGCTTGCTGTTGCTGCTGCTGCTGGTGCTGGTGCTGGTGCTGCCGTTGCTGGTACTGTTGTTGTGGTTGTTGTTGCGCTGTGGCAGGGGGGTTGACTAGTGAAGAGGGGGAGGATGATGACGGGTGCGGGGTGCGCACAGGCGCACTGCCATTGGTGCTCCACCGCACCAACGATGCAGCGGGTATCGGTGTCTGCTGCACCTGCGCATCAACCACAGCCGGAGCGGACGTGACAGCAACCGAGTTGGGCTGGTGCTGCTGGTGCTGGCGTTGTTGTTGGTGCTGCTTGTGCTGGTGCTGCTGGTGTTCTGGCAGGGATTGGATGAAGGAGACCAAGCTGGGCGTCGTCAGCGGCGGGTTTCCTTGTGCATCGGGCTCATGATGCACGTGTGGTGCAAGCAGTGCCTCCAACACCTGCTGCAGCTGTTGTTGTTGCTGCTGCTGCTGCTGCTGCTGCTGTCGTCGTCGTTGTTGTTGTTGTTGTTGTTGTTGTTGTTGTTGTTGCTGTTGTTGTTGTTGTTGTTGTTGTTGTTGAGTGATGTGGGTTGGCGCTGCTTGCACGCCGGCCACCACCTGTCCCTGGTGTGCAGGGGCGGTTGCGCTGCTGGCCTCCCCTTCGACAGGAGCTTGCTGGGTCTTGCTTGTGGTGTCGGCTGTGCGGTCGATGGTGGTATTGCCATTGACAACACTGCCAGCGGCACTCGTGGCGCTGCTGTGGTGGGCAGGTGCGGCATGGGCGTTGTGTTTGTTGACTGTGGCTGACGCAGGGGATGGTGTCACTGCCTGCTCTGGCGGGCGTCCGTGCTGCTGAGGATGCTGAGGCTGGGACGGCTGCTGCCATGCGAGAAATGGGGATGCATCGAACGATGGCATGCTGGCAACACCAACAGCACCGTGTGCCTGTGGGATCGGTTGCTGTGAGCTTGTGGCTCTGCCGGCTTGGCCAACTTGGGTGGAAGCCCTACTCGCAACTTTTGCGTTACCCTGCTGCTGCTGCTGCTGTTGCTGTTGGAGCGCGCCCTGCAAGATCGCCAGCTGTGACAGTTGCTGGCATGCAACCAGCGCAGCCTGCGGGCTGGGCCGATTGGCACTGGTCGGGGACATGAGCCATTGTGTGAGGGTGGCAAGTGCCTGCATGTGCTGGGCGTCCGCGCCATGCCCTGTCCGAATCGCTTGCGCCTGTTGTTGCGGGTGCTGTTGTGGGTGTTGTTGTGGGTGTTGTTGTGGGTGCTGTTGCTGAATGGGATGCAGCGCTTGCGGTTGCAGGGGATCAGAAGAATGTTGTTGTTGCTGCTGCTGCCGTTGTTGTCGTTGTGAGCGGAGGAGAGTACGAGCCGTCGTGCCCGGGTCGTCCACAGCTTCGGGGGGCAACCAGCCCGCTCGACGTCGCTGCGGCTGCCGCGGTGGCTGTGTTGGCGGCGGCTTGCCCATGCTTCATGTATGTGTGCAGCGTTGTCCGAAGATCGGGCCCATGCAGAGATCAAAGCGAGTTGTTGAATGAGAACAAAGGCCGCCTTGTGGTGTGCAGGTTCACGCGCATGCGCGGACCACAATCCTGAGGCAGCCGGGCCAGCCAAATACAGGTGCGAATCAAACGCTTGTTTGGTGATGAATGGGGATGTCCTTGGAGACTGTTGCCTGTACCAGGCACGTGTGGGCGGTGCTGGTGTGGAGATGGGGCGTTTGGTATCGCGGGGGTGTGGTGTGGTGTGGTGCGACCTTTGTGTGAGCTGTTAGAAAGTGCGCACCGCCCTCTGCTCGCGCATGTGCGTGTGTGCGTGAGTGTATCTTGGCTGCTGGGGGGGGGGGGTTGCTGTGGCCGGGGTTGCTGGAGGTTGCCTCCTTGGGTGGTGGTTAGAGCTGGTGGGGCAGGTATGCAAGCAGAGGCAATGATGAAGACGCACGAGTCTGCAATGACGTGCGTGTTATGTACAAACGCGTGGGGCCACACAAAAGAACGCTGGTGTTGTTGGTGTTGGTGTTGGTGTTGGTGTTGCTGGTGCTGGTGCCGTGAGGTGTGGGTTTGTAGCGGTTGTTGTGCTATTGCTGTATCGACCGCACACACCGAGACAGACAGCCAGCCACCCGCAGTCCTGTTGGTGCAACCTGAGCGGTGGTTGCTTTGCTGTGGAGGATGATGCAAACACGCGTGCGAGTCTTCCGCGAAGGGTGACGTGGACGCAACGCAAACGCCTTTTGGACAGGGGAATCAGACGCAATGTTGCACGCTGGCCAAGCAGACAGAGGGTGTGCTTGTTGCTTCTGCGTGGTGTGGCGTATGCTTGGTGTGCGTCACTTTGGGTGGGGTCGCAACCGGTTTGAAGCGCGTCTTAAGCAAGCTTGTTGGGGCGGTGGTGGGCGAAGGTGGACGCACACCAAGCAAGCAATCAATCACGTTCGCACACCAATCAAGCAAGCACAACAACCCAAAGCACGATCTCTCAAGTGGATTGGTAACGAGTGGGCGAACACGCGCGCGAGCACCTCACGAGGGTGGCCAAAACACAACCACAAGCAGGAGGAGGCGGACGAGGCAGAAAAGGCAATCACACACATGCCACACGCACAAACGCGAACCACCAATCAATCAGACGCACGCACGCAAGCAAGCACGCGCGAGCAATCGACCCATGAAGATGGGAGTGGAAATAGCAAGAAACACCCTGCCGTTGGCAGATGCGCAAGTTTGGCCCAGGCGCAAAGCAGCACAATAACGCAACGCTACCGCGAAGTGGAAATCCAAAACCCATCGCCCCAACGAACCAGGCCAGTCGCCCGTGATGATGATGATGATGTTTTGCAAGCATGCACCAGCTGCTGGCGTGTGTGTGTTTTCTTGGAAACTAAACGAAACGATTTTGCAATCCACTTCCAAGAATCAGCGGGTTTGATGCGACTTTAATGTTGCAAAAAACGCTCACGAAGCAACGCAACGCGGGCGTGAGCAAGCAACAAACACACGCAACCCACCAAACAGGCACGAAAAACAAAGAGAGGCAACAACGTGTCAACGAAGAGAAGCAACAAGGCAAGAGCGGACAAGCCACATCTCACATCATCACATCAAGGCACGTCATGTCTCATGCTGCAGGCAAAGCGCATCTTCCCGCCCCCCTGCCGCTGGCCGCCTTCAGCTTCAGGATGGCGGCACGCCAATGGTCGGGTAGACGTTGTCGAAGAGGATGCCGCAGGTGCCGCACACCTATGGCCAAAGCAGACAATAGCACGCGATGTGAATACATGAGCACTTAGGGTCACATCACTCAAGAATGGCATCGAGTCAAAGCGACGAGAGGTCTGGGGAGGAGGGAGAAGGGTGTTGCAAGCACAACCCAGCAAGCATAACCCCCTCCCGCTTTACATCTCTCCATCTGTCTCTGTTTCTGTCTCTGTCTCTCTGTCACACACACACACACACACACACACACACACACACACACACACACACACACACACACACACACACACACACACACACACACACACACACACAGAAACGCGCACACACACGCACGCACCTTGACTTTGTCGGGGCCGCCCTTGCAGCCGCTGCCGTCCTGGGGAGTGATGTCCATGCCACAGCGACCACCCTGATGGGACAAGCGGGGCGAGGGGGCGAGGAGATAAGGAGGGGGGGGGAGTGAGGGGTGAGAAATGAACAGCAGCAGCAGCAGCAGCAGCAGCAGCAGCAGCAGCAGCAGCAGCAGCAGCAGCGCCCGACCAATTGTGAGCTGATGAAACACTCAGTTTCACGTCAGACAAAAGCCTCAGACAACAAAACAACACATACACATACACATGTATATTGTAATCGCACGTACACATTCACACGCCCACAAAGGGGGAGCAAAACAACACACAGGCAGAAGCACACGCAGTGCAGTACGAATCACATGTCCTCCCTGCTCTTGCAAACACACACACACGCACGCGCGCGCGCGCGTACCTCGTTGGCGGTCCTGCGGATACGGATGTACCCGCTCTCACCCCAGTGTGGGGTCCAGCTGTTACGCACGAGCCAATAGCCCTGGGAGTTGTCGTCACCGTAGCCAACAAGCTGCACGGCGTGGTCAATGTCCGGGTTGGTCTGGTTGCAGCCATCAAAGATGCCGCTCTCGTAGTTCTTCCACTGTCGCCCAGCAGACACGACAACACCGGCAGCAGCAGCAGCAGCAGCAGCAGCAACAAGAGGGCAGGACCGATGATAACGGCAGAGGTGAGACGGAGCAGCAAAGAAAATTAGCCAAGTGGCACAAGCCTCCAAAATCTCGCACACGGGCGACAGTCAGCCAAGGACCTTTCGTCGCACAAAGCGACAGCAAGGATGGACAAGGACAGCCGGTAACGGGCGACAGACAACTACGGCGACTCACGGCAACGGCCTCGACGCTGATGGAGATGGGGCCCTTGTTGGCAATGGCGTCCATGAGGGGCTCGTACTGGTTGGAGGGAAGCTTGACGTACCCGGTCACGTTCACAACGGACATCTGCGCGGGATGCGTGGAAATAGGTTGAGGACCGGGACAGCGGTGTCAGCGTGCGTGCATGTGGAGGCGAGGGAATTACTTTCAGTGAGTGTGTATGTGTGTGCGTGTGTGCGTGCACAAGAGCAAACTTGAGCAATGCGCGGCGTGCAAGCAGCAGACAACCACGAGCAAGCAAAAGGAATCAAGCACACCTCCACAGCTCTGGCTACTCCCGCTCCCCTGGTCTACACCTCGAGCACACCTTCTCCTTGAAGTGGCACTTGTAGTTGTCGCCGTACCAGGACAGGTAGGGGTAGGTCCACTCGGTCTGGAGACCGCCGTGCTTGGCCATCTAGTCACGCAACGACAACAAACACACAACATGAGCAGCGGATTACAACTTGCTGCATGCGTGTTTCTTCTCCCTTGTGTACACACACGCTCACACAAAACCACAACCCTGCGAAAACGGATGCGCACGCGCCCACGTCCACAACATGGAACGCACGTGCTCGTATGCAATCTCGGCGGTGCCGCCCTGGCAGCCGCCAGTGCCGCCGCACTCCTCGGGGTTGGGCGTGCAGTCGAGGATGTTCTGCACAACCAAGGCAGCAAAGAAAAAGAATGAGAGTGTGTGTGTGTGAGAGAGAGAGTGTGTGTGTGTGTTTGTGTGTGTGAGAGAGAGTGTGAGTGAGTGAGTGAGTGAGAGAGTGAGAGAGAGAGTGTGTGTGTGTGTGCGACGTTGTTTGTGACAACAAGGTGCTGCTTTGTTTTGTGCAAGCACTTGAACGCGCACAACCGTGCATGACATCATCACACGGTGGTGCGAAAAGCTATGCAGTGGAGAATGTGGCACCACCCATCAATGCGTGTTACCACTACGCAGTCAACACGGCTCACCTGCTCGGACAGAACCTCGAGGGTACCGGTCTGGACGGCGACGTGGCTCTCGAGCGTCTCCGCGGAACCAAACGACCTGCACAGTCACCGCACACACACACACACACATGTTGATGCGGACAGGGACCAAGTCGCGTGAGCAGATTGTGCGTGTGTGTTTGGGGGGGGGGCTAATTGAGCAGCGCCAAGATGTCAGGACCCACTGAAAACCAGAAGCAACGCACAAGGGATGCATGCATGCATGCATGCATACAGCAGCAGCAGCAGCAGCATCACCACCACCACAAGACACGCACACACACACACACACACACACACACACACACACACACACACAATGTGCGCACCAGCAGGAGCCGCACTGGCCCTGGTCCTTGACGGCGGTGACGACGTGCTTGGTGCGCCAGTCGACAGAGTCGGGGAGGCCGTTCACATCAACGTTGGCCTGCAGTACAGAAAGACGGAGCGGGAAAGAAAGGGGGGGGGGAACAAGAAAGTGTCGGTTTGCGGATGAGCATGCGTACGTAGAAATACGGGTACACCCAACTGACGACAGCAGGCTCGCAACACACACACACACACACACACACACACACACACACACACACACACACACACACACCTTGAAGCCAGGGGGAGTAGGGCGGTGCAGGCTGTAGCCGATGCCCTTGTCATAGCCGAGGAGACGCTTGAACTGCAGGAGGCACAAGCAAGCAAGGGAGCAAACAAGTGAGCAAGCAAATACAAAAGCAAACGAGTGGGCAGGGAAAGCCAGCCAGCATGCATGAGCGACTGGTTCTGCATTCACACACACACACACACACATAGTGTTGTTGTCTCGTATCACGTCACATCATGCCACAACAGACGGAGCGCGCTACATCATACGGAGACGTCAATGTCATGTTGTGTCACACCTCGCCATCGGTCCAGTCGGACATGTGGTTGATGCCCTGCTTCCAGGTCTTGGTGGGGTCGCTGTTGTGGGCCTTGACAGATGCAAGGGTCTGCGCAGACAGGCGGTCAGCAGCCACTTGCACGTGAGAACCGCAGTTAAGCCGTGTACAAGGGAAGGGGGCTGGCAGCACTGAGCGCGCAGGTCAAGCAAGGCACAGCGCAGATTTCAAAAAACGTACGCGCTCAAACACTTGACGGCGGAAGTCATGCTCCTCAGAAGAGAGGTAGCGCTTGCCGTACTCGGCCTTGAAGTGCTGTGAACCAAAGCCACACAACAAGCAACCAAGTCGTCCAGTGAGTCAGGAGGTGGTGGTCGCTGTTTGTTGACATTTCGCCACCTTCCTGTTTGCCCTAGGGTGTTTGCACTAAGCCAAAGCCTGATTGAAACACACACTGCAACACCCACTTTGCAACACGCATTGCTGCACAGGGCACACACGGACCTCAAAGGAGTAGCCATCGAGCTGGTGCCAGAGGGTCTTGGCAGAGACAGTGGTGGCCACAAGGGCGACCAGAGCCGCAACAACGACAACAGCACGCATCGTGTGGCGTAAGTTTGTCTTTCTCTCTTCCTCCAAATCAGATGTAAAATGAGGGTGAAGCAACAAATGGCCCATCCCTTACAATGAGAGGAAAATCCCATTTGGACAGCCTTCGACAAATGAGCACTTCTCTCCAATTTCGCGTTGGCCCTCTCGCACTGCAAGCAGACACGTGAGCCAAGGGAACAAGCATCTCCCACGTTGTCTGCCAGCGAAAGCACACAGACCAACCCCCCCCCCCAACACTCCCAACACACACACACATCATCGCCGCCATGTCGATGACAGTGCTGTACGAGTCTGCGGTGGGCTTTGCCCTCTTCGACGTCGTGGAGACCGAGGAGATTGGCATCAGCCTCCCCTCCGTCCAGGTGTGGTGAATGAGAGCTTGTATCTGTGTATGTGTGTGTTTGACGTGTACGTGTGTGCGTGGTTGTGATTGTGCGTGGTTGTGATTATGTGTGGTTGTAATTGTGTGTGATTGTCGTGAATGGAGGTGTGTGTGTGTGTGTGTGTGTGTGTGTGATTGTCGCTCCTCGTGCTCTTGTCGTTCCTCTTGTCGTTCCTCGTCATCTTGTGGAGGGTGCGTGCTGTTTTGTGGATTCGTCATGTTCATTTGCTGCTGTGCCCCCTTCGCCTTCGTATTGCTCATCGTGCGACACTTGCCTACGGCGACACTTTTTCAGGATGCCGTCAACGACCTCTCCAAGTTTGGCAAAGTCGTCAAGTTCAAGGCCATCCAGCCATTCCGATCAGCACAGGTGCGCGCGCGCGTGTGTGTGCTTGAGCTGTTGTGTGTGCGTGTGCGTGCGTAGTGTGCTTGATCTGGTGTGCTTGTGTCGTTGGAGATGGAGGCAGAGCCAGCAGGATCACTTTCAGTGTTTGGAAACACTCGCACCAACGCACAAACCGCCCCACACCACCTCCATCACCAGCGACAACGCCAATCACGACAAACTCACCTTTGCCCATCACATGACGACCTCCGGGTCGGCTTTCTTTTGTTGTTCACTGGCACGTGTTCTGGTGGCCAACAGGAAGCGTTGGAGAGCATCAACGCCGTGAGTGAGGGTGAAGTCCCCGACCTTCTGCAGGACTTCCTCGAGACCAACGTCCTGCAAGCCCAGTCCAAGAAGAAGTCGAAGATGGTCCTCGGTGTTGCCGACTCAAAGTGCGTGTGTCTGCGTGTGTTCCGTGTCATGTGATTGATGCGTTTGATGGTCCACACCTCCTCGCTGATGACAGTAGTATGCGCGCGTCTTTTTGTGTGTGCACTTCTGCCGGCTCACATTGCTGTCATCGTCGTCATCATTGCCACCACCCTGCTCACGTTCTGCGCACCACGCACTTCCTCACTCGCCCCACCCGCGGTTTGCTCATGCATCCCCCATCTTCGTCACATCAACAACAACGATACAGGCTTGGCCAATCGATTGCACAGGCTGTCGGCTGCAAATGCGACCACACTGGCGTCGTGCCCGAGCTTCTCCGTGGCATCCGCCTCCACTTCACCAAGCTGTACCCCAAGCTCTCCGAAGTTGGCCTGGACAAGGCCCAGCTTGGTCTCGGTCACAGCTACTCCCGTGCCAAGGTGCGGCTCCTTTGGCGCAGCAATCCACACACACGCCCACGCACGCACGGAATACCGTGGCTTTGTTGTGTTTTGCACGATAATCATCTCACCCCAGCTGTGCTTCCTTGGCCGTTGTTGTTGGGGCTGCAGGTGAAATTCAACGTGCACCGCGTGGACAACATGATCATCCAGGCCATTGCCCTCCTGGATCAGCTTGACAAGGACATCAACACATTCGGCATGCGCGTTCGGTGAGTCACGCACACGAACCTACACGCGAGATGCGACATTTCACGCGTTGCATTTTTGTCTCGGACTGCACACCTGCTCCGACACATCCTCCTTTACACCCATTTTCGCTCACGCACATTTCCATTGTCATGGCGTGTTTGTGTGTGTGTGTGTGTGTGTGTGTGTGTTTGCACCCAGCGAGTGGTACGGCTACCACTTTCCGGAGCTGTCCAAGATTGTGACGGAGAACATCATTGTTGCGCGCCTTGCCAAGATGATTGGTCGCCGCTCCTCCCTCACAGAGGACAGCCTGGAGAAGATTGAGGAGATCACCATGGACTCGGCAAAGGCCGAGCAGATTATGGCTGCGGCCAAGTCGTCCATGGGTACGTCTTCGCCGATTGCTCGCTGCACTTCTCTCCTTGTTTGCTTCATCATCGCCTTGTGCTTACCATCCATCTTCAACACACATGGACACGCATCATGCCGCACACACACACACTCACACACACGCACTCACACTCACACTCACACTCGCACACATACACACACACACCTGTCTGTGGACTTGCAGGTATGGAGATTTCCGACATTGATCTTGAGCACGTGGAGTCGTTTGCAAATCGAGTCATCTCCCTCGCCGAGTACCGCGCCAGCCTGCAGGAGTACCTCCGCTCAAAGATGGCCTCCTGTGCTCCAAACCTTGCAAACCTCATTGGCGAACAGGTGCGCATCCTCCGCACAGAGGAAGTTGTGTGTGTGTGTTGTGCGCTCATGTTGTTTGTCTGTAGTGTGCCCATCTTGGTTTGTGTGTGTGTGTGTTGTGCGCTCATGTTGTTTGTGTGTGTGCACTCTTTTCGAACGCTCGTTTCAGCAAACTCACTGACACGAACCCCCCCCCCCCAACACATTCACACACATTCTTTTGAAACGCGTACTCGTGTCCTCTCGTCGTTTGTGGTCTCAGGTTGGCGCTCGCCTCATCTCCCACGCGGGCTCCCTGACCAACCTTGCTAAGTACCCGGCCTCCACCGTCCAGATTCTTGGCGCCGAGAAGGCTCTCTTCAGGTGCGAGCACAATCCCGGACACGCGCCCCGTCGTGTTGTGCATACATTTACATGTACACGTGAAGCAGTGTGTCGGCAGATGTGTGGTGTGCTGTGCGAGTTTGCCCACACGCTTCACTGTATCTGTTGGTACTGCTTGAATGACGCCATCCCCTTCTCGTTCCCTCATAATTGTCGGGGGGGGGTTTTTTTTTTTGGTGCACACAGGGCCCTCAAGACCAAGGGCAACACTCCCAAGTACGGCTTCCTCTACAACTCTTCCTTCATCTCCCGCGCTGGCGCCAAGAACAAGGGCCGCATCTCCAGGTAACACAAACTCATTTGACGAATGACGCTCCGTTGGCTCTGTTTTGACGTCATTTCGCCTCAGCCGCGTGCATGAGTTGCCGTGACGGGCAATGTGTACACCTGCGGCTGACGTTTCATCTTTGTGTTGTGCTTGTGTGTGTGTGTGTGTGTGTGTGTGTGCGTGTTTTTTCAGGTATCTGGCGAACAAGTGCTCGATTGCGGCGCGAATTGACTGCTTCTCGGACACGATGACGGGCAAGTTTGGCGATGAGATGCGCTCGCAGGTGGAGGAGCGCCTCCAGTTTTACGAGTCTGGCGACCCCCCGCGCAAGAACATCGACGTCATGCACAAGGTGCCCATCCCATGTGTGTGTGTGTGTATATGTGTGTGTGTATGTGGCTCTGTGTGGCTCTGTGTGGCTGTTTTCAGCTTTGTCATGCTGTCCGTATGTTGCTTACTTCTCTTCGCTGTGCATCTCACGGTTCATACGTGCCCATGTACTGTTTCGTGTGCTCTTGATCTAGGTGATGGAGACACTGCAAGGGGAGGAGAGCGCTGCTGAGGAGGAGCCCAAGGATATGGATGTCGATGCCAAGGTACATGCTTTTTTCCCCTTGTAACAACACAGATCGCGCATACTTTCAGTGACACGCGTGTACATGGACACAACCTTTCCCCTCTCACACACTCACACACTCACACACGCGCGCGCGGGCGCGCGGGGGGGGGGGATGCCTTTCATCTTAATTCCATTGTTTGTCGCTCACGGCACGTGCGCTGCGCCTGCTTTGCGCTTTAGACGCCGGAGAAGAAGAAGAAGGAGAAGAAGAAGAAGGCCAAGCGTACCGCTGCTGAGGCTGACGCAGACGAGGAGGAGGAGACTGTGGCGAAGACACCAAAGTCAGACAAGAAGAAGAAGAAGAAGAAGTCCAAGGACAAGGACGCCGAGACGCCAAAGTCTGCAAAGAAGGACAAGAAGAAGAAGAAGCGAAAGAGCGAGGCCTAATAACCGTTTTCCGTTGTTTGTTGCCTTGGTTTGTTGCCTGTGTTTGGGATCTGTCCCCCTCTGCTTCGTGTCCCTGTGCTGTGCTGTGTGTGTGTGTGTGTGTGTGTGTTCCTGTGTGGGCTTGATGCGGGTGGACTGTAATCGATGATTTGCCTGCATGTGTGTGTTTGTGTTGTGTGGTTTTTGTGTGAGCAGCACAGTTGCTGGGACAGAAGTGTGCTTGCATCACATGCGGTTGTGTGCTTCAGCTGGTTCCTTCTTTCCTTTGTCGTTTCATACACAGTGTGCCCTCTTGACCATTGATGAGCGAGGGGGGTGGAGATATGAGAGGCAGCAGGAACAACGCGTGGGCGTGCACGTGTGATGAACGAACGGAACATGGGACAAGTTGTGGCAACAGAGCGCACGAACAACAGACAGCGGATGCTGTCGTTTGCGTTCTGCATTTGCTGAGTCAGCACAAATCGTCTTGCGCAATTCTGTGAACGAAAAAAACGCAAGCAGCAATCGACAACAACAGCAGTGCACACACTTCGCTGACACACAACGGCTAACCAGCAGCCAGCCTGTGCTCTTGTGTGCACTTCTTCCTTCATCTCTTCTTGCTTGCTTGCTTTGCTTCGCTTCGCTCCCTTGCTGACGTGCGTGCGTGTTCTCTGCCGCCAACCACAAGAGGTAACAGACCACCACATGTTCCACCACCAAGCAAGGTGCTTGGTGCTTGCATACCATGTTGTTGTTTTTTGAGCTGATCGTTGTCGTCCAACTGGCCGGCTTGTGCGTGAGCTTCATGCGCAAGCAGGCTGTCAAGCAAGCAAGCAAGTCATCATATTCGTGAGGCTGCTCTTGTTGTCTTTCTTTGCTTTGCAGACACCCACTTACCGCCGTATTTGTGCTTTGCTCCCTTGCTTGCGTGTGAACTCCTTCCTCAAACGGCACTGCTTCGCTCGTCGTCGTTCACTACCCTCCCATTCCAGCCAGATCCCACTCCTCCCAACGCCAACAACAACGATGGCTGCCCTTCGCCTTGCTGTCACTGCGGCGCTTCGTCCGCTGCGCGCTGGCGCTCTCAACACTGCTGCCAGAAGCGTGCTCCCCGCAGCCACCAACCTCGCCGCTCGCGCCAACCTCCTGCACACCTCCTCCCTCTCCCTCGGTGAGCGCTCGTTGCGTGCGTGCGTGCGTGTGTGTGTGTGTGTGTGTGTGTGTGTGTGTGTGTGTGTGTGTGTGTGTGTGTGTGTGTGTGTGTGCGTGTGCCATACGTGTGCTGTGTCGTACTGTGGGTGCATACGTGTGCTGTGCAGGTGTGCGTGTGCGTGCGTGCGTTTACGTGTGTGTGCATACGTGTGCTGTGTCGTACTGTGGGTGCATACGTGCGTTTACTTGTGTGTGCTGCGCCCACAACGGGCTCACGCTCCACCCGCGCCGTGTCATCAGATCGCTACTTCACGGAGAGCCACGAGTGGGTCGATATCCAGGACGGCACAGCCACCATCGGCATCACAAACTACGCCCAGGTACAGTGTATGCGTGTGTGTGCATGCCACAAGCGTCCACACACACACACACACACACACACACACACACACACACACACACACACACACACACACACACACACACACACACACACACACACACACACACACACAGGTATCCATCCTTGCCCACACGTATCCTCGCCCTCACACCCCTCTTTTTTGACGTGGCTGTGACGCAGGAAGCGCTCGGTGACATTGTCTATGTCGATCTCCCTGAGGTGGACACGGAGCTGGCTGCAGAAGGTGACATCCTCAAACAGCCATGCATTTGCATGCATGCATGCACGCACGCTCGTGCTTTGCATCCTCCCAATATCACACGTGCATGGTTGTCAAAGGGAGAATTAGGCCGGCGGCTGTACTGACACACTCTCGCTCTTGTGCTGGTTCACAAACACACACACACACACACACACACACACACACACACACACACACACACACACACACACACACACACACACGCACGCACACACGCACGCACGCACGCACACACGTGCACAACCAACAGAGGAGTTTGGTTCGATTGAGAGCGTGAAGGCGGCGAGCGAGTTGTACGCTCCTGTGGATGGCGTCGTGACAGATGTCAACAATGAACTGTCCGACAACCCTGGTCTCGTCAACGAGTCTGCAGAGGACAACGGTACGCTGTGTATATTGCATGCGTGTGTATTTTCACACACGTGTGTGTGTGCTTGTGTTTATGACCGTGTTTGGAGTTCCTCAACGTCAACAACAACAACAACAACAACAACAACAACAACAACAACAACAACAACAACAATATCTCACGTCACCACAACCCCACATGCACGCATACCAGGCTGGATCATCAAGCTGAAGGTTGCGTCCCCAGACCAGCTGGATGCACTCATGTCTGCCGAGCAGTATGGCGAGTTCATCAAGGCTGCCCTCAAGTAGACGTGGAACTGCCCCTCGCCTCCCTCTCTCTCCCTCTCTGTCTCTGCTTTCAAAGCGTGCCTGCTTGCGCTTGCGTGCCTGCTTCCGGCAGCCTTCTCTAAGAGTGTGCGCACATGCACACGCACCTTCGCTTTCTCTCTTTGGGATTTCAGCCACGTGCGCATCCGGGTGTCTGCGTATCTGTGTATCTGTGTATCCGTGTGCGTATGTGTTTTGTTGCACTTGTAGTGATGCTGCTTACTGCATGCATGTCCTCAAACGCAGTAAAACCACTGTTTGCAACCCCCCTCCCCCCATCGTCGCCACCGCGCTCTCATGTTGTCAGCGGTTTTATGGTGCAACATGCACGCACGCAAGCAATGCACGCTGCTTGCAAGGTGCATCGAGACACCGCGATGTGCCACAACCAAACAACCAGAGAAGAAAAAGGAAAGCAGATAAGTTATGTCATCACGTGTCACGTGAGCATAGGTTAAAATCTCGCACATCAACAATACACACACATACAGCAAATAGCGCGCGGCACAGGTGAAATCTAACAGCATGCGAAGGGAAGCTCTTCTGATCGAACACACACACACACACATCCATACAACATCAGCGCATCAAAACACATCTTCTGTCTGGTCAAACAATACAATACAGCAAGTTCTCAAAGTCAGGCGCAAGGCACATGTGAATTGCTCAGTTCTCCGAGGCCTGGCTGTCGTCGTGATCAGTCGTCAGCAGCGACTGCGACGAATCAGCCTGGAGCACACACGCAAACACACACGCACACACACACACAGAGGCATATGAATAACAACATCACATTCATCAGCCAATCTAGCAATTACACAAGGGCACATGCACACACACACACACACATACAAACAAACATCCAAACACACACATGCAACACACATTCATCAACATTCATACATACACAAACATCCAAACACACACACACACACAAAATCAAAAGCCACGCTCACAACACACCTTCCGACGATGTGCACTGGTGCCTGAGGTGGTGCGGTGCTTGGTCCGATCGTGATGATGTCCACGACGGTGGACGTGACCAGATGATGAGCGAGCATACCCAGCGTGGTTCATGGCATCACCGTCATCGACGTAATCGTCGTCGTCGTATTCGCCGTCGTCGTCATCGTCATCCTCGACATCATCGTCGTCGTCAGCACGGCGATGGTAGTCAGCGAGCTCGTACAGCGACGTTGGTGATCCCTGCACACCGCTGCCAGGGCCACCACGCATTTGACCCGTGGCTCCCCGTCGGTCGTCAACGTGGTCCGGTGTGCCATGCAACATCGACGATGGCGGTGGCGGCAGCGCAGCAAGGTCGGCTGCAATCTCCAGATCACGATCGTAGGCAAGCGTGGCTTCAACAGCAGACCCACGCGTGCCCATGCGATTCAGCCCCTGTCGGAGGTACTCCTGCACCTCATCCTGCCCGCCTTCGTGCTGCGTGTGCCGAGCGCGGCTGCGGTGGCTGCGGTGGCTGCGGTGGGATGAGGCAACACTCTGCGCATCACCACCCCCGCTCCGTTGGCCAGAGGACGCCCCACCACTGCCGCTGCTGGCCTTCACGCGCCCTTCAAACCGCCGGCGCCGGCTGCTCCGCGCCACATCCGAGTCAGACGAGTTGCCGTCGCTGCCATCGTCATTGCTACTGCTGCTGTTACTGCTGCTACTGCTTGTGCTGTTGCGACGTGAGCGCACATGCTGGTCCGCGGCGCCATGCCCATCATTGTCGCCGTTGTCGGGGTGGCGGTGGCGACGACGCTGCGGCACGTTCGCACTTGTCACGGCGTGGGGTGTGCGCATGGGAGTGCGGCCCTTCGGCGTGGCGTAGCTCTGGATGGAATCCCGGTGCACGTGGTGCAACCGCTCTCTGTTCAGCTCAAGCAGCCCGCGCGAGCTGCGGTTATCGTCCGTGTCCGTGGCCCGGGTTGGATCGACCGACTGGCGAAGCCGTGGCACTTCGTCCTGCCACGCAGAGTCTGGGCGGTCAGAGACTCGCGACACGCGGTGAGATGACGGCGGACGCTGGGACGGTGGGGGCGGCAGATGCACGGATGGGTGCCCGTGGTATGCTGGTGAGCGCGAGCGTGCACGGGACCGCGAGCGCGAACGCTGGCGCATGCGAACATGTTCGTTCTCATCAGCACCGTCGGCGCCATCAACATCATCCAGCAAGGTTTGAACGTTCACCGCCGTTTGCGATGTCGGCGTGCGCACGCGCGATGGGGAGCGGCGTACCCCGCTGAACGGCCGTGCAGAGTGCGCTGGGCTCGGTGGCGGGCGGCTGTGCGGCGTCACGTCCCGTGTGGGCACTGCGCTGGCCACACGCGTGCCCTGGCGCTGCGACGCTCCGCTGCGAACTGACACGTGGTCATCAGTCTCCCGGCGAATGTTGGAGCTAGAGCGCACGCGGCCAGAGCCGGTGCCCTGGTCGGGAAACGCCTCCACAATCTCCCGGCGGCGGCGGCGTGGCGTGCGCGTGGGCGTCGTGTTCGCCGTGGCACCATGCGCTGCTGCTTCTGCTGCTGACATTGTCGTCGGCTCGTGGGTGCTGACGGCGCGGCTTGCTGTCGCTGCTGTTGGTGCCCGGCTTCGGCTTCGGCTTCGGCTTCGACTCCGGCTCGCATGACGGCTGCGGCTGGCTTGGCGGCTCAGCCTGCTTCGCGGGCGGTGGCCGTGATGGTGGTGGTGGTGGTGGTGGTGATAGTGGTCAGCGGCAGAATCTGGATGCAGGCGGTCCGTCATGTCCACGACCTGGTCGCCCTCAGGCAGCGGCTGCGCTGCAAACTCCTCGTCCGCACGATGCGCATCGACAATGGTGGGTGGCCCAGCGACCACGGCATACTCGTTCTCCTCCACCTCAGCACTGCCAGCGACGCTGCCGTGTGTGGACGCCATGTGGCGACTGGCGACGGAGCGTGGTGAAGGCTGGTGCGAGCGCGGTTGCAGCGGGCTGTGCTGTGGTGCCTGCTGGTCAGCAGGATTGCTGGGCGGATACATTGCCACGGGCTGTTGCGTTGTCACTGGTGGGTGCGCAAGGTGTGATTGTGGCGACGTTAAGTTTGAGGCGCCATGCCCGTGCTGCGGTGCCGGGGGATACATGCCCGTTGGTGCAAATGCACCGGCATTGTACTGCTGGTGCTGGTGTTGGTGCTGTGGTTGTGGAGCTGTTTGGTAATATTGCTGCGGCTGCTGTTGCTGTTGCTGATAGTGTTGCTGGTGTTGCTGCGGGTAGTGTTGCTGCTGCTGCTGCTGCTGCTGCTGCTGCTGCTGCTGCTGAGGGGCCGCAAATGCATGAGGTGGATGGTATGGCTGAGGTACAGCAATGTGACTGGGAGCATGACTGGGGGCATGGCTAGGGGCATGGCTAGGGGCATGGCTGTGAGCGTGGCTGGGGGCGTGGCTGTGAGCATGGCTGCGAGTGGACATGGGCGTCGTCGCTCCACCGCCGCGGCCCTGCGAAGGCATTGGACTCACGCCAGTGTCCCGGACACTTCGGGTGTGAGAGACATTGCCCCGTGCATCTTCACCGAGGGGATCACCCTCAACCGCCCCCGTCTGCAGGTCTTTGTCGTCAATCAGAAGCATCTGCTTGCTTGGTGTGGCGTGCGATGTGTGCTGATCGTGCTGGTGCGACGCACTTGGTCGGCGAGAGGTGGCAGCAGCCTCGCTCTCACCATGGCCATCCTTGTCACCGTCGCCATTGTGTGTGCTGGCGTTTGCATCGCTCTTGTTGTTGTCGCCTGCATCAGCAACGCTGCCACCTTCGCCGTGCACGTCCACCATCTTGGCGTCCTCAGGATCAAACTTCTCACACGAGAACGAGGCATGCGAGAAGTCAAACCCACACAGACAGCGGTGGTGGCACTTGCACGTCGGGTGCTCGCACTTGCACTTGTGCCTACATCTGCAGTTGTGGTGCATCTTCCTGTGCATCTTCTTCTTCTTCTTCTTCTTCCTCTTCTCCTTCGCCTCAGCTTCGGCCTTGGCCTTGGCCTCTGCCTCCTCATCCGTTGTTGGTTCACCATCGTCAGAGGCCGTGCGAAGGCGGAGCGTCACGCCGTGACCGTTGCTCAAGTACACACGCTGCCGCTTGCGTCGTCGCTTCTCCTCGGCAAGCTTTGCCTCTTCCTCCTCCTTCTGCTTGCGCCTCTGAGCAGCAAGCCATGCTGCATACTTGAGACGCTTGCAGCGCCAGCAGCGGTTGCGGTCACGCAACGTCTCCGCAAGCAGCATGCGGAAGCCACCATTCAACAGGAACCCACCCCGCGCACTGCTCTCAGACTCCTCAGAATCATCACTGTCATCACTGTCATCACTGTCGCTGCTGCTGCTCTCACTGCCGCTTGACGAAGAAGACGAGGAGGAAGACGACTCATCGTCATCGTCCTCCTCATGGCAGTCACACATGCAGCAGTGCTCAGTGTCGCTGCTATCCCCGCTGGAAGTGCTGCCAGAGGAGCCCGTGGAGCTGCTGTTGGCGCTCTCCGAATCACCATCGTCACCATCCGAGCGAAGTTCAGGAAAGTACAGCTTGAGAATGTCGTACAGCGTGGCGGGGCGCGCCTTGTCTGCGGCCTTGCGCTTCTGACGACGACGACGACGGCGGCGGCGGCGGCGCTTTTCCTTCGCACGCTCCTCTGCTGCAGCCGCCTCGCGTTCTTGCTGCTCTTTCTCCAGCGCGCGACGGTACGAGTCAAGCAGGTGGTGGATGCGTGACGCAAGATAGTCCTCAGCCTCGCGGTCTAGCGTGATCTGCGGTGGAAAGCGCCCGTCAAACTCAACGATGTCGCGCAGAGGAGTTTTTCGCCCAACAAACGGACAGCCGTCACCCGGTTTGCCGTCATCATCCGAGCCATCACCGTCGCCCTTGTCGTCTGTGGGCAAGGATTCCAGCACCCACTTCTTGTCGCCAATCTTCACCGTGAACAGCTCGGTGCCCTTCTGCACAGCCCGCGCTTCTTCCTCGCTGTCCTTCTTCTTGCTCTTCTTGGACTTCTTCTTGCTCTTCTTGGACTTCTTCTTGCCTCTTTTCTTCTTCTTGTCTCCCTCGTCGTTGTCATCGTCGTCATTGTTGTTGCTGTTCATGATGAGACGAAAAGCCATCTTGCCTCCACGAGCAGGTCCCAGCTTCACCAGCCGCAGCTTCCCGCGGTCATCAGCCGTCTGCGAGGGTGTGTACACGTACAGCGCTGGCGTGAGCTTCTCCTCGTCCAGCAGCACAACGGCCTGCTGTTTCTTCACGGGCGACTCAAAGATCTCCACATCTGCAAGTGGCGGCACGTAGTCGTCCTCGCTCACAAAGATGAGCTCGCGCGCTGATCCTGGTGGCAGCGGCTTGCCGTCTTCACCGGGCATGGGCATGGCAAACACCCGCCCCGGCGAGAAGCCAAGAAACCCCGCAGCATCGTCATCCCCATCGCCGCCTTGCTTCTTCTTGTCGCTCTTCTCATCATCCTTGTCCTTGTGCTTCTTGCTCTTCTTCTTGGGCTTCTTGCCCTTCTTCTTCTTCTTCTTATCATCCTCACCATCCACGACATCACAGATATTGCCGTTCTCGCCACAGATCATCTGAAACACCAGCCCATTCCGCAGTCTGCGTCGTTCCTCTTCTTCCTTCTTCTTCTGCTCGGCAGCCACGTGCTTTTTCGCCTTGCGCTCCTTCTCACGTCGCTTCTTCTCACGCTCCATGTGCAGCTGAAACAGCTCTTCAAACGTGCGGGGCTCCTTCTCCTTTCCCTTCTTCTTCTTCTTCTTCGCCTTTTCCTTCTCCTCCTTGTCCTTCTTCAGCGGCACAATGCGGATGTGCCCATCAGAGTCAATCTTCACTGTCACTTCATCTCCGCCGTCATCGTCATCGGCATCGCTGTCTGAATCGCTACTGCTACTGCTGCTGTCGTCACTGTCATCGCCACCTTGGTGTCCGCACAAGACCATTAGCTGTTCTTCGAGCGTGAGTGGCTTGTCCTTGTCTCCATGCTTGGATGCGTTCTTGGCCTTCTTGTCCTTCTTCTTCTTCTTCTTTTTCTTTTTCTTCTTCTTGTCCTCCTTGGCATCCGCGCGTGACTCGTCCACAATCTTGTATTCGTGTCCGTCGATGATGATGGAGGCGTTCCACTTGTCCGCGTCGTCATCCTCCTCCTCATCGTCATCCTTGTGCTTGTCCTTCTTCTTCTTCTTCTTCTTCTTCTTCGCCTTCTCTTTCTTCTTCTTCTCCCTCTCCGTCTTCTTCTTTTCCTCTTTTGCTGCCTTGAGCAAGTCTGCGCGGCTCATGAGCTCCAGCTTGCCGTTTCGCGTCGTAAACACAAACTCATTGGCCAGGCGGTCCTTCACAAACTCCTCCTCGTGCACCTGGTCGTAGCAGTTGCTGCAGAACAGGTCGCTGCACACAGTCAAGTTGAAGTCGTCGAGCGTGGACGTATCGGCCTGCGACTCCGACGAATCGTCATCAGACTCATCCTTGTCCTTCTTCAAGTTGTCGAGGTAGAAGGAGACCAGCTTGCACGGGCCAGAGCACGCCGTGGAGGTGGTCGAGTTTGCATCGCCTTCGCTCTCGCTCATGCAGGACGAGTCAATCGCCGCAAACACGAAGCGGCCCGTGTTGTCGTTGCGGTGGCACTTGGAGCACGATGCCTTCTCCCCGCGCCTCTGCAGTGAGCGGAACAGTGCCTGGCGCAGGAGCTGTGGCGACTCGCGCGGAGGGCTGGGCAGTTCTGCAGCCACAAGCCTGGCAAGCTCTTCCTCATGAAGTCGGCACGCCTCCTTGAACGCTGCCGCTTGCTGCTTCGCCGCTCGCTCGGCGCGCTTCTTGTCCTCCTTGCGCTTCTTCTTGTCCTTCTGCTTGTCCTTCTCATCGTCATCCTTGGCTTCAATCACCTGCCGCACCAACGTGCCGGAGCGTGTGCGCCGAATCACGAGCTTCGGACGGCACTTTGCATCAGACCCTTCCTGTGCCTCCATCGATGCGTTGGACGAGTCTTCAGCATCATCATCGTCAACATCCGTCTCGTGCATGCGTGAGTCCATCAGGCGGTCAAAAACGGCAAACGGATCCTCAAAGTCGCGCAGCAAATCACCAATGGTGTCCTTTGGCCGAATGCCTGCGGTCAATTGTTTGTGTGAGCGGGGCGTGTGAGTGTGTGATGTGATTGAGTGTGTGAGTGTGAGTGTGTGAGTGTGAGTGTGCGTTGGGAGTGTGTGAGTGTGAGTGTGTGAGTGTGAGTGTGCGTTGGGAGTGTGTGAGTGTGTGAGTGCGTGTGTGAGTGTGTAAGTGTGTAAGTGTGTGAGTGTGTGAGTGTGTGAGTGTGTGAGTGTGTGAGTGTGTGAATGCGTGAGTGCGTGAGTGCGTGAGAGAATGTGTGAGTGTGTGAGTGCGTGAGAGAGAATGTGTGAGTGTGTGAATGAGCCAGTCAGTCATGTGTGTGAGTGTGTGAGTGCGTGAGAGAGCATGTATGTGTGTGCAAAGTAGAGGCGGTGAAAGACACATGTGCCTGTGACGTACACTCGACTTGTGCACATCATGGTCAGTCGAGCATGCGATGAACACACTCTCCTAGAGATAGCTCTCCACACGTGAACATGGATATTTCCATAGAACCCTAACCTTGTCGCTTCTTGGTTTCCTTGTCGACCTTTTCTTTGCGTTTCTTGCGCTCTCGACGATCGAGTGCATGCAGCGCTTCGAGCTGCTCAGCAGACTGCAAACACGAAACATAATGGCAGCATGCGGAAGTGTTCAGTGTGCATGTGCGTTGTATTTGTCGCGAGGGTGTTGCATGTTGCGTGTTGCGTGGTGTGCTTTGTGTGTGTGTGTGTGTGTGTGTGTGTGTGTGTGTGTGTGGGTGTGTGTGTGTGGGTGTGTGTGCTTTGTGTGTGTGTGTGTGCTTTGTGTGTGTGTGTGTGTGTGCTTTGTGTGTGTGTGTGTGTGTATGATGGGATTGGCAATGTACGGGAATACGAGTGCACGTCAAGTCAGAAGAACACAGACTCACGATACGTTAGGACACACACGCGCGCATGAACAAAGAACTTGCGAGTTGCACCTTTGCAGTTTTGTCATTGGCCTTTGCCACTTCTTGTTCAAGGTGCTTCTGTCGCACAGCGGCTGCATCGAGCTCCTTCTTGGCTTTCTGTTGTTGTGCAAAATGTGAGTGAAAGATGAGAGTGAATCGGTGACTTGTAGTCGAGGACACTGAAGACAGCTTTGCCGTTCAAGAACACTCAAGACAAGCTCTGCAGCTATCACGACTCGCAGAGTGCCACGCTTGATCACACAAACACGCACACACGCACAGCCACATAAGGTCACACACTTGACACACATAAGGTCACACACCTGTGTTTCGGCCTCATGGGCCTGGTTTAAGCGGGCCTGCTCAGTCTTCGTCTCCTTGAGCTCCTTCTCAAGCTGTTGCCCGCATGCACACAACAACACGATATCCACGGCATCAGATACGAATCAACATCGACCCTTGCATGATGAGATGATGTACTCACATGCGTGTGTCAGCGAGCAAATTGAGTGCAGGGGAGGGGATGTCGTGTTGTGCAATCACACCTTGACGCGTTGATCCTCCTCACGGTGAAATTCCATGGAGCGACGCTCTCTCGCCTGCAGCAGAAACGAGCAATGACACGGCATATTGTGGGTGAGTATGCATTGGAAATGATACAGGAACAGGGAATGGCGTGCGTGCATGCGTGCATGCGTGCATGCGTGCATGCGTGCATGCATCCATCCGCACACATGTACACGTGTGCGCTTGCGTATGCACACAATTGTGTCGCTGCACGCCCATGCTCGCTATCAACGACAGCTCAGACAGCAGCGTGTTTCACACGGGTACAGTACAAGGCCTCACCTTGGACAATTTCTCGTTCTCGGCCTTGAGCTGCTCCACTTGCTTGGTGAGTTTCTCCACGTCTGCCCTGAGCGCTTTGTTCTCTGCTTCCAGGCTCTTCGTCCTCTCCTTCTCCGCGACCAGCTGCCCTTCCGTTGTGGCGAGCTGTAAGCACACGGTACGCACGGAGTGCACAAGAGACAAAAATAGGTTGTTAAAAGCAGGCGGGCGCAGGATGAGCCATATTGCGACATGCAACGTGACGCAAATGCAGTGCAGTGACGTCACACAAGCAAATATGAGGCGACAAAACTCGCACGCACATGTGATCGCAACGCGCGCACACACACGCATGCACACGCGCATGCACACGCGCACACATGCGCACATACACGCATGCACACATGCACACGCACACGCATGCACACACATGCACACTCAGGTACATACACCCCAAACACAGAGGTACACGCTCGTACCTTGTTCTCAAGTTGGCGGATGACTTTGCGCAAGTCGCCCTCCTTGGCCTGGCTGTTCTTGGCCACGTCGTTGTGCTGCTGTGACACCGCCTTCACATCATCGCGCAGGGTCTGAATGGTGTTGTCACGCTCCTCCAACGCACGGTTAGCGGCCTGGCAAAACCGAAGCGACAGTTTGATCAGGGGCAGAGGTGCGAGTGAGAATTGCAGCAGACAATGACAAAGGTTGTGCATGCCCGCCCAAAGAAAACAACAAAAACTTGTATGCAAATGCGCGGCGAGTATGCTTGACCGTTGCACATGTCATCAAGGCCAACAAACAACACAACATGTCCAACCATAGCACACAGCTTTGGTGAAGCAGAATGCACCGACGACGCAACGAAACAGATTGTGCGTGATTGCATGTCATGGATGCGTGTGTACATGCGATGTGTGTGCGTGAGTGCATGCGCGACTTACATCCAATGCTTCCTGGAGATGACGAGCTTTGTTCTGCTCGTGCTTGAGCATGCTGCTCAGTGTGTGGTTTTCACCCTCTGCAAGTATACAAAGTAAGTGGGAGGAGAGAAAGGCGTCAGCATGCACGCACGCAAACATGACAGTTTGAAGGTCACAACTGTATCTCAAAGAAATATTGAGGATGTGATAACATGCGTTGCTGATGACGATACAAATTGTTCAGCTTCGTGCATTTGTACGCGTGCATGCGTGCATGCGTGCATGCATCCCACAGTAACTTACGCATGCGGTAGGTCTGCTGCTTCAGCATGCTGGCCTCCACTTCTTGCATGTTCCGGTCCGTCTGCATCGGTGGGGGAGGGGAAGGTGTGTTGGTTGGTTGGTGGTTTGTTTGCGCGTGCGAGTCAAGGATTTCGTGAGTATTTCGAACAACGGTGCTGGAATATGCAACCCTTGGCAGCGAAATAACCATTCGTGACACCATACAAATGACGGAAACTCCACGTTACACACATGCACACATGCACACGTTGCACACGTTGCACACATGCACCCAAATAAACAGCAGCCACACAAACAAAGCAAGCACACACACACACACAAAGCACACGCGCATGTGCACACGAGGAAGCATGCAAACATCCACAATGTCACACGAGCCCACGCACATGTGCGCTCACCTTGAGGTCTTCAATTTCGCCGCCTGTGGACGAGAGCTTCAGCTCAAGCGCCTGTTTGTCCCTCTTCATGAGCGCAAGCGCCATCTTCAGGTCGGCAATCTCAGACTTTGCCTTCTCCAGTGCAAGCGCCTCGTCGCTCATGTCCTTCTTGTGTTTGTTCTTGCTCTTGCTCTTGTGCTTGCCTGGTGAAAGCTCCACAGCCACCTGCTTCTTGGAGGGTGACTTGATCTTGCTGCTCTTGTGTTTGGACTTGGACGTGGGTGATCGCTCCGTCATGTTGCTGAGCGAGAGCACGATTGTGGGCGGCGTGCCAACCGACGTGTTGTGCAGCTTGGCGTTGTGGTGGTGATGACGTGCCTTGTCCTGCTTGTCCTTCTTCTTGTGCTTCTTTGCCTTCTTCTTCAGTTCCTTCGCCAGAATGTTCTCGAGCTCCGTGTCGCGCTCTTCCTCCCGCTGCTCCTGCGCGTCCTGCGCTGTCAGGCGGCTCAACTGTGCAATTCAGGCAATGTGGTGAGGTGGCGACACATGTGTGTGCTTGTGTGTGAGCATTTTTGTGCTTGTGTGTGAGCATTTGTGTGCTTGTGTGTGATTGTGCTCGTGTATGTTTATGTGTGATTGTGTGCTCGTGTGTGTGTGCTCGTGTGTGTGTGTGTGTGCGTATGTAGTGCGAAGGCTTGTGATGTGAAAGCGCAAAACTGTGGTAACATGTGTTGCGAGTGCGGCGTTCCCCGTACCTCAAGCATCAGTTCCTTAATGGAGTCCTTTGGTTTCCCGGGATGTGTCCTGCAGTCAGCATTGGAATGCAAACGTGCACGTCAGCAGCGGGGACAACAACAACAAGAAGTCACAAGCGACTCTCCAATAGCACATGCATTGGACACACGAACGAGGACAGGAGCAGAAGAATACAAGTGGATTGTCGGGACTCTGGGAATGCCGCTTGCTTGAGGTTCGTACCTGTCTTCGACTTGCATGGGCGTTGGGTCGTGCTGTAGGAGGGACTGCATGCTTGGGTCCTTGCGCCTGCTTGGTGTCTTGTATTCAGACTTTACCTGGACGTTGGGAGAAACCAGAGATAGTGCAGGTGTCATTGAGATTGTGCATGCTCAGTCATAGCGACCAGTTGGCAAGCCCTTCTCTTGCTTCACACAAACTCACTCACTCACTCACGCACTCAGACACATACACAAACACACACTCACACACACACACACACAAACACTTACTCACTCACTCACTCACTCACTCAGACACACACACTCACACACACACACACACTCACACTCACACACACACTCACACACTTCCTCACTCACACTTCCTCACTCAGACACACACTCACTCAGACACACGCACTCACACACCTTTGTCTGTTGCGGGCTGAGCAAGCTCCGCTCCGCGGTTGACATGGCTGGTTGTCACTGCCTGGAATCCTCTCCCAAGCGCACGTGAACTAAGCATGTTGATGGTGCAACACAGAACATGGGGGAAGGAAGTGGTTTGAGCACAGTGAGAGGCTACAAGAACAACACCGTGCACATAACATGCACATAACATGCATATGTAGCACGAGGCAAGTGCATGTGTGTGCAGTGCGGATGATGCATGCCACTGCGTTCTATCCATTGTCCCCATGTGTGCCTCTCTGTGTGTCTCCTCCCTGAGCCACCCTCTTCTATCACATCTCCATTTCATTCGGGCAGATGCAGGAGGAGTCAACGCATCCTTATCATCATCAGCATCATCATCATCCATCGACCTTGTCGTCGCGGAGGAGGTGTGATGATGTGATGTAGGATGCGATGAAGTGCCGCTGGCTGTTGTTGTGGGTGGAAATGAGGGGCAACAGCAACAACAGCAACTTTTTTTTCGACTCGGCGGCGATTTGAAATTGGCGGTGCGAAAATTCATCTTTTACTGTGGCGACATCCCAAAGTTTTCACAACAGGGCAAACGAACAGCCCATTTCATCTACTAACACCACAAAATGCAGTGGAGAAAGCACGCTTGGCTGGCTGGGTGAATGCGAGCGCGCACACACACGCACACACACACACACACACACACACACACACACACACACACACACACACACACACACACACACACACACACACACACACGCACACACACGCACGCACACACACACACACACACACACTATCGGTGCTATGATGATGCGGGCTGCATGAGGCCCAACCATCCTCGGGTGCGAGACGTCGTGGAGTGCAACACCTGCGATGACAACAACAGCAGCAGCGGAGACGGGTGAGGAGATGAGAAGCAATTGCAACTAGACACAGATGCATTCGCGAGGATATGTACAGAAATGTGGGTGTTTCTGTTGGTGACGCGAACCTCTTCGTGCTCTTTTGGGGTGAACTGCAGTATCGTGGAAATGACCTTGGCCAACTCCTACATGAGCACAAGTGAATGTGTGTGTGTGTGTGTGTGTGTGTGTGTGTGTGTGCGTGAGTGAGTGAGTGAATGTGCGTATGCGTGTGTGTGAGTGTGTGAGTGAGTGTGTTTGTGTGCAAGGAGTGGCTGCATCTGCGAGACAAAAAAAGTGTTGGGTGTTGGTTGGCATATGCACACACACGCGCATACGCATACATAACAAACACATACATAACACCACACACACACACACACCCAGCGCGTACCTCCTGGTGGGAGCCAAGCATGTATTGGTAAACGACGTTCTTGAGATACAGCAGTTGGTTATCGGTGTCGGACCTGTTGGAAGCAATGGAATCACACAGGAAAACGAAGAATGTGCGTGTGTGCGAGTGTGTGGGTGAGTGAGTGAGTGAGTGAGGGGTGGAGGTAAAGGGGGAGGTAAAGCCAGCATGCACGCACATAGCGACACACCCACGCACACCCACGCACACCCACGCGCACACACGCACACACTGAATAGTGTCACGAATAGCACGCACTTTTGCTGTTGGAGGACAGCGAGTCGATCCTTGAGGTCTTGGATGTGCTGCTGCTGCTGCTGCGTGGATAAGTCACTGCCAAGCGCAGTCTCGGGGCTGGCCTGCAGCGCAAGCTGATGCGTCTTCACATCCAGCTCGTGTTGCAGCTGTGTGATGTTGGTGCGATGGCAGGCATAGAGTACATGAGCAAGCCTCACAAACAGGGACACAACCACATTCTCGCATAACAAGACGCACACACACACGCACACACACACACACACAAACACGCACACACACACACACACACACACACACACACGCACGCATGCACGCATACGCATGCACGCACACACACGCATGCACACACACACGCACGCACACGCATGCACACACACACACACCGCAGCGCAGGGCACCTGCTGGATTTCCTCGTCGCGGGCTGTTAGCGCATCATGGAGTTCGTCCACTTGCTGCTGTAGCTTTTGCAACGCGGCTTCCCGCTCTGTCGCCGCCTCTGTCAACTCAGCAATGTGTTGCTGCTGTTGTTCGACCTTCGCCTCGAGCGCCTGTGCTTGCTGCTCGTCGCGTTGCCTGTTCTCCTCATCATCATTCTCCTCGTCGTGTGCGGCTGCACTGACAACGAGATCAGCGACCATCGCCACAATGCGACGGGCGCGCGCCTGCAGCTGCATCTCACTGCCGGCACCACTGCCATCACCATCTTCTTCATCGGCTTCCTCCTCCTCCTCGTCGTCGTCTTTGATGGCGAGATGTTGTTCAAGATCAGCAAGCAGCGATTCAAACGAACGCCGAACACTCGCAGCAGCGCCTTCCTCAGCTGCCGCCCGATCCTGTTGATTGGTTGTTTGGGATGGGTTGTTGGCCTTATGTGAGCAAGCGAGTGTGTGTGTGTGTGTGTGTGTACGTGTACTTTGTGTGATGGTGCGAGCAGCGTACGCAGTGTCAACGCAATATGTGTGTATGTGCAGGGCAGAACCCACAACACCAAAGGTGCATGTGCAACAGCACGTGCTATAACCTGCATGGCGAGCTTCAGCTGCTTGATCTCCGCCTCGTGATCATCACGTTCGCGTGTCAACGCTTCAACCCGCGCCTCCAGCTGTATCGTCGCACACATCCGCACAGTGCACGCACATGAAGTGAGCACGCCGACGCTCGTGCAACCATACACGCACGCGCGCACACACACGCACGGACACACATGCACGCACACTGTTGCACTGACTGCTTGCCCCTCAACCTTCCCTCTCCCAACGTGCCCTCTCCCAAATACACACTCACACACGTGTATGTGTTCACCTTCTGTGCGCGGTCGTCTGTCTCCTGTGCAGCGTGCTGCTTGTCCTCGTGTGCCCTGTCCGCCTCCTCCTTCGCCACCTGCAGCTCAAGCTTCACCTCGGCCAGTGCCGCTCGCTCCTCTTCAAGTGCACGTGCAATCTCCTCCGCTTCCGCCGTCTTGTGCTCAAGCTCGCTGCGCACTGCTACCAGCTGCGTGTCTCTCTCCGCCATCTCAGCCTTGAGCCGCTCCACCAGCACTTCCGTGTCCTCCAGTGCTTGCTGCATCTCGCCCATCTCCTCCTTCATCTCTGTTGTCGCTGCTGCTGATGACTCATCGCGCACCGCCAGCTGCGCCCGCACCGCATCCAGCTCCTGTGGCGGTTGATGATGATGATGATGATGATGATGATGATGATGATGATGATGATGATGATGATGATGATGATGATGATGATGATGATGATGATGATGATGATGATGGTGACCATCGTAGGGCAACATATACACATGCATGAGAGGTGTGCATGAGGATATGTAAATGGCTTGTCACGCATGCATGCTCAGACACACGCATAACCACACACGCACACAAACACACACACACGTACCCGCGCACGCACACACACGCACACGCAAACACAAAGCAAATACACACACACCTGCTGGGCCTGTAGCAGCTCTTCCTTCTTCGCGTTGAGGGAAGTGATGACAGACTTTGCCTTTGAGCGCAGCTTGGCAATCAACGTTGCGTTGTTCTGTGCATCTTCCTCCAGCTGGGGCACCTTCTCTGCCTCCTTTTTCGCCTCTCGCAGCTGCTCCTTCAGCTCGTCCATCTGTCTCGCTGCCGCGTCCTTGTCCTTCAGTTGCTCTCGAAGGTCAGACAAGTGCTCGTTCAGCTCCTCTTGATTGCGCGCCTTACTCTCAAGCGCCTTCACTTCCTCCTTCAACGCCTGCATTTCCTCGGCGAGTGCCTCTGCCTGTTGTTCTTTCTCCTCCTTCGCTGCGGTCACTTCGTCTAGCGTGGCAGCCAACCGGGCCATCTCCTCCTTCGCCTGCTTTCCCTCCTCCTGTGCTGTCTCTACTTCACCTTTCGCCGCTTCAAGCTGTGCCTGCAAGGATGCCTTCTCCGCCTGCACCGCCGCCACCTTCTCCTCCGCCTCCACCAACTGCTCCTGTGCGTGTGCATGTGCGCGTGCTTCTTCTTCCAGTGCGTCAATGCGCTGTGCCAGCTCGTCGCGCGCCTCACGCACCGCTGCAAGCTCACCCTCCAACGCGTCCACCTTCGCTTCAGCCGCCTCCTTGGCCTCTGTGGCAGCTGCAACCTCTCGTGCCAGGGCCTCTGTGCGCGCCTGCTGTGCCTCTGCTTCCTCCTTTGCAGCAGCGACAGCGGCGTCACGCTCATCCATTGCCTGCTTCACGCTGTCCATCTCCTTCTGCAGGGCGTCGCGTTCACCCTTGACCTCCTTCAGCTTGGCCTTAAACTTGTCAAACAAGTTTGTCTTCTGCTTCGCCGCGTCTGTTGCTTCCTGCAACTGCGCGCGCTCGCTGCTCCACTCCTCAGCCTTCTTTTCCATCGCCTACAGATGCAAAGGGAGGACGCAGGTGGATGGGTGAGGGAAGGTGGGAGGGAGAGGTATATTGAGGGAGTGAAGGGGGGAGGTGAAGGAGGAAATGTGTGAGGGCAGGCGCGTGTGATTGTAAAAGAGGGATGTGTGTGGAACTGTTTGTGCAGTGCATGTGTTCATGTGCACACACTCAGACATTCAAGCAAACAAAAGCACACAAAATAAAAGCACATTGACACGAGTTTCGTATCCCATGGCAACAGCACGTAACAATTAAGCTCCCCGGCCGCACCTGCTTTGCTTCCGTGGCCGTGTCCAACTCCTTGCTGAGCTGCTCACACTTCTCCTCCAGCTTCCGCGTTGCCTCCACGGCCGCGTTCATCTCCTGCTCGTACAGCTGCGCCCGGCTCTGTGCTTCCTCTTGCGCCTGCACAGCAGCAGCGCGTGCTGCCTCAAGCTTCTCAAGGTCGTCTGCCTTGGCTTCAAGCTGTTCCCGCAGCGCTGCCACGCCCTCCTCATTTGCGCGCACCTGCGATGCCAACTGTCCTTGAAGGTCTTCAATCGTCTTCTCCGCCTCTGCGTGCTGTGCCTGCACGGCATCAAGCTTCGCCGCTAGCTCCTGCGTCTGCTTCCCGCCATCCTCTTGCTCTGTGCGCAGGCGGTTGTTGTCCTCCAGCCAGGCCTTGGCTTTCTCCTTCAACTTTGACAGGCGAACCTAAATACAAGCGTGTGAGAGCACGGGGTGTGAACGTTACATGGTGTGATGACTCATGTGTATGGAGGGACATCAAACCCATAAAGATTGGGCCTCCCAGCACGCACGCACGCACACGCACGCACACACACACACACACACACACACACACACACACACACGAGCGCTTTGCACATGCACGCTCAAGCAGACACGTACACTTACATCCACACATACGCACACAAGCATGTCCACAAGCATGTGCACGCCGCACAGTTCCACATGCACATGCACACGCACACGCACACGCACACGCACACGCACACACACGCACGCACGCACGCGTACCTTCAAGGAGTTATTTTCCTCCTCAAGGGCGGTGTGATGCTCCTCCGTTTTCGCTTCAAGTGTGGCCTGCAACCCCTTCAAGTCGCTGCGCAGCGCCTGCAGCTGTGTCTCCTTCTCTTCAGCAACAGCGATGCTGGATTGCTCGCCGTCCTCCTTCGTTGCTGCCAGCGCTGCCTGCAGGCTTTCAACCTGTCCTTGAAGGTCCTCCACCTGCTCGCGGGCAGCCTGAGCGCCCTCCGTGGCCGTCGCCAGCTCCTCCTTCACCTCCGCCAGCTCTGCGGCGATGGCGTCGCGCTCCCTGCACGCCGCCGTCTCGCCCTCCGTCTGCTGCGCGTGCGCGTCTTCGAGCTTCCCCTGGGCGACCTCCAACTCCAGTGCCAGCTTCTGCACCTCCGCTGTCAGCTCGTCCACCTTGCCCGTCGCCGCCTCCGCTTCGCTCGCCTTCGATTGCAGCGCTTCCGTCAATTCAGCCATGTCCTCCCCCAGTTCCTTGCGCGCATCCTGTGCAGCACGCAGCTGCTCCGCCCTCTCCTCCTTGTCCACTTGCAGCGCTGACAGCTGTGCTTGAAGGGAGGACCGCTCCTCCTCATGCTCGGCCTTCAGTTGTGCAATCTGCTCCTGTACGCCTGCGCTGGACTGCTGGTGCTCCTCGGCCTGCCTGGACGCGGCGTCGACCTTCTCCCTGAGCGAGGCGACCTCCTCCCTCGCCGCTTGCAGCGCCGTCGTGGTCGCCTCGAGGTCAGCGCGTACCGCCTGCTCCTTCTCCATCGCAGCCCGCCCCTCCCGCAGCCACGTCTCCGCCTTGCCCTTGAGCTTCGTCAGGTGCACCTGCAACTCCTTGATCTTCCCCGCTTGCTCCTCCGACCGCTGTGTGGCTGCCGTGTGGGCTGCCTCTGCCTCACCGCGCACCCGCTGCACCTCCGCCTTCAACGCCGCCACCTCCTCTTCCTTCTGCTGCACAGCGCTCGCCTGTGCCTCCCTGTCTGCCTTCGCTGCTGCCACCTGGTCGGTCAGCGTTGCGGCACGTGCCTCTGCGTCCTCCTTTGCTGCTGTCAGCTCACGTGCGCGTGCGTCCAATGTATTTAGCTCCTCTTGCAGTGCATCTCGCTTGTCCTCTGCTTCCTTCAGCGCCGTTTGCAGCTGCTGCATTTGTGTTGTCGTCTCGGCAGCAAGCTTCTCTCGATCCTCCTCCCCCGCAGACTGTGCACTCTCCAGTGCCGCTTGCAGCTCGCTCACCTGCGCCTCTGCTGTGTCCGCACGATCGCTTGCTGCCTTCTCCTCCTCCTGTGCACTCTCCAGTGCCGCTTGCAGCTCGCTCACCTGCGCCTCTGCTGTGTCCGCACGATCGCTTGCTGCCTTCTCCTCCTCCTGTGCACTCTCCAGTGCCGCTTGCAGCTCGCTCACCTGCGCCTCTGCTGTGTCCGCACGATCGCTTGCTGCCTTCTCCTCCTCCTGTGCACTCTCCAGTGCCGCTTGCAGCTCGCTCACCTGCGCCTCTGCTGTGTCCGCACGATCGCTTGCTGCCTTCTCCTCCTCCTGTGCACTCTCAAGTGCCGCTTGCAGCTCGCTCACCTGTCCCTGCATCTGCTGCTTCACTTGCTTGGCTGCCTCCTCGCTGCCCTCCTGCACAGATGCCTGCAGTTCGGCGAGCTGTGTGCGCAGGGCGTCTCGCTCCTTCTCCGCCGCGTCCACCGCCTGTCGGTGCTCCTGTGATTCCCGCAGCCACGACTGCGCCTGGCACAATGACAACACGTGGGCCGCGAAGCAGAGGTGTGTGTGTGTGTGTGTGTGTGTGCACAAGTTGACGTAAAGTTCCGTGGTGGCTGCTGTGTGCGAGGGTTGGTTGCGGCACGCCTTGCTTGCTTGCTTGCAAGCACCACACACTACACACCACACACCGAATGCATACACAGACCTTATCTTTCAGCTTTTGGTGCTTTTCCTGCAGAGACGACAGCGACGCTTCAACGCTCTCCTTCTGCATGCACAAATACACGCGAGCGCAAGAAAGTTGCAGCATAGGGTGAGCAATCAGCACACGCCTCATGCCTGAGATCACACACGCAAACAAACACACAAGCAAACACATGCACGCATGTACGCGCACGCACTGCCAAGGAATCCCGATATTCAGCAAACCACCACCACCACCACCACCACCACGACATCATGTGTTCGTTTGCACCTGCTCCTGCGCCGCTGTGAGCGCGGCCTCTGCCTTCTCAGCGCGCGACTCCGCAGCAGCCTGCACCAGCGGGCACGTGTGTGTGTGTTGTGTATTGTGCATTGTGCGTGTGAGTGTGTGTGTGAGTGTGGGTGTGAGTCAGTGAGTGAGTGAGTGGAATCGATGAGTGTGTGATTGCACGAGTGCGAGAGAGACGCCGAAGGGCGACAACGACAAGGAAAATTGGCATCACACGCATTTGATTCAGGCGCAGGTGCTCGCAGGAACAAAATACCACTCACGAGCTTCTCATTCAGGCTGGCCATGTCCGCGTTTGAAGCAGCGGCAGCATCAAGAGCGCTTTGCTTCTCTGCCTCAAGTGCCTCCACCTGCTCCTGCGACGCAGCCAGCTCCTGGCCACGCATAGTCATGGTGATGCAAACACCCTCGTAAGCACGCGCGCTCACGCTTGCACACAGCGACAGCACTGCTGACAACAAAAGTTGTCGATTGTGCCACAGCAACAGCACACACACACACACAGAGCCGCAACACACACCTGCTTCAGAGCGGCGATGGCATCATCGTGGCTGGTTTGCAGTTCCTGAGCGCTAGCCTCCAGCTCATCAACACGCGCACGCAGCGCTGAGCTTTCGGTCTGGCCCGCGTCTGACCAAGGGACGCGTGATGGTGGCGATGGTTTTGAGATATGTGTGCATTGTGGGTGTGATAACGTGTGGATATTTGAGTGGATACGTGTGTGTTTAGGTATGTGTGCATTGTGGATGTGTGGATGATTCTGTCGGAGATCAGGGGCTGACACGAACCGAGTTGTTGTTGAAGACCTTTCGCTTCTTCCTTCAGCTTTGCCAGCTCCTCCTATCATGCCATATGCAAGTGAGAACAGCAGTTAGAATGAGGTTAAAACCCGCATGTAAGGAAGACAGGGTCACAACCAAAACCCACGCCATACACGACGCAGGCACACAATGTGCCACACACACACACACACACACACACACACACACACACACACACAACTGCATGATTAGCAGTCCGTCTATCCACCGACACCCCCCCCCCCTAGCGGTTACCTGCTGTTGGGCCAACTGCTCCTTGAGGGTTGAATTTTCTTGCATCATGTCGTCCATGCGGTGCATCATGCTCTGCTTTTCCTCTGTCACTGTGGCAGTGGCGCTGTCCTTCTGCTTGCGCATGCGTGCAATCTCATCCTCCAACTCGGCGATTTTCGCCACCTGGCGCGCATGCTCCTCGTCATCCGCATCAGCTGCGTGTGTGCATGCGTGTGTGTGTGTGTGTGTGTGTGTGTGTGTGTGTGTGTGTGTGTGCGTGTGTGTGTGTGTGTGTGTGCATGTGGTGTGTGTGTGTGCATGTGGTGTGTGTGTGTGTGTGTGTGTGTGCGTGTCAATGTATTGTTGTCTTGGTTGTAGGAGATCGCAGTTGGAAAAGCAGAGAGAACAACCATCCTGTTTCGTGTAAGCATGATAAC